CTCTGCATTAAATTACTCCATAAGATTACAAGGTGTTTATAACCTGGTTCCAGGTGCTTTAGGTCCCTATGAGTAAATGATGACGCCTTGAACCGAGTCCTGAAGCATACTAACAGTCAGTGCAGCTCTTTAGGAGAGGCGTCACCTGCAGTAAAATGTTCTAGTTAGCAGTGTAATCGCTGTATTCTGCATCAGCTGTACCTTCCAAACCTAGGGGAAGCCCCTCCCCCATCCCCTGTAGAGCACACTGCACTAATCCAAACTTGAAATTGCCAATGCCAACTCTGGTGACAGTTCCAGTTGCACACCATATTATGTAGCACCAGTAGGACCCCAAACTGCAACCATTGTCTCAAGATCTGGGAACCACTCATTCACAGGACCTCCATCTTGCTGAGGATTAATCTTTTGTTTATCAGCCCTTATCCAACCTATAACTGCATCTTGGCATTCACCTGACTTAAGAAGAATTAGAGCTCAATGTCATTAGCATGCTGATAACACCATGCTGCAAGGGAAAGGGAAAGGCTGTTCCCAATGACTCATCTTGGAAGGAATTTTCTCTTGGCTGTTGTAATTTTAGAGTGTTGAAAGATGTGTCTGTATGGGTGGGTCTGTATAAGGAAGAGTAATATGGATAATGTTAGGTTGTGGGTGAACATATCAGACAACACAGCAATTCTTCAGACAGCTCTTGTTTATTCACAGGCCAGAACAGAACAGGGCTGAAGGGTTCAGCCAACCTGCTTATATAAAGCTCAACTACATGGCAACAGTAACAACTTTCTGTAACTATCCAATCACTGAATGTCACTTTCAATTCCTTATTTGCATATACGGACCTGAGCGAAAACTATCCCCCCTGCTGGCCCAGGGTGAGAACTTCAGTACATAACAGATAAATACTTTTTTCCAGTGAATTCAACCTTCTAAACACCTCTGCCTTCTGTGGGCAAGGTTCACTCTGTGATGTTTTTGAATACGTAGCGGTGGCCACATGAGGGTCATTCTGGCTTTATGTGATTTTTGCTTATAGATGTGATAGCCAGGAATGTAACCTGTGTGTAGGATGAGATCTACCTATACAGTATTATTACTGGTAGCAGTAGTATATTGGTTCAATAAAAGCTATTGGTTTATCTATTTTGTATTTGTTTCTCTCTTTTTTAAGTAAGGACATTTAACATTGTCATAATGTCATTTTCTGAAGGTGTGTTTATAAATCTTTTGCTACATTCCACCCTAAGAAAATATATGCTTGAGAAAGAAGTCTTATTATGGGCTGAAGCTGCTCACGTTCTGGGACAGAAAGAGAGAAAACATAGAAAGCAGTTAGTTAGCCCATGCTTCACACCCTTCTTAATGCTATGGGTTACACCCATCTGAACTTTAACCTTTTGGTTTTAGATCCTTGTTTGTATAAGGTTTTTAGTTTTACAAAAACTGATGTATGATTCAACAAGTTTCTTAACTCCAAGTTAATGTAAGCTAAAGAGCTGACAAATGTTCACCAGGAAACTAATTCCTTAGCTAAATGTTCACCAGGAAGCTAATTAGAATCAGCAGCTCTCAGGGAAAGATTGTTCTTTGTTTCTTCACTTTACATTAGTGGTTTTCCATTCTTGCCATCCTCTGATGTCACAGCAGTCTTTTTTTCTTTTTTTTAAAAAGACACTATGCCTTTTATGATTAACCAGAATAGAAACAGATGAAAGTACACCCTGTCTTAGAAAAAGAGCACTTCATATTTACAATGCAGTGTTTGCTGAACACTTCATGAAAATCTCTTTTGCTAAACTTGACTTTTTTCTAACTGTGCTGAATAATTATTGCTACTACCAACTCTTTATCTAAATTAGTTTATTTGAAATGGAACAATTGTTATCTTCTAAGTATTTGTATTTGACATGTAGTAGGACCTGAGCTTTGCAATATTGGTAGCTCATATTTTCAGCAGCAGCAGCAGCAGCATTGAACCTAGAAGATGAATGTGACTGTATTAATTATTTGTTCAAGAAATCTAGATCATTATTTGTCTATGCGGATATCATGGCAGTATACAACAAGTATGAATAAAATAAATCATGCTATGGAAAGTACAATATAAAACAATAATTATAACACAATTAGAGGCAATTAAAAAAAGTTTAACATTAAGAGTAATTTGACAGTGGAACAGACTCCCTTGGGGGATTGTGGACTCTGCTTCATCTGAGGTTTTTAAGCAGAGATTGGCTGACCATCTGTCAAGGATGCTTTAGTTGAGATTCCTGCAAAGCAGGGGTTTGAACTAGATGACACTTGACATACCTTCCAACTCTACAATTCTAGGATAAACATATTAGAATAAATGCAAGCCTAACCATGCCTACTCAGAAGTAAGTCCTATTGAATTCAATGGTGCTTTCTCCCTGGTAAGTGGGGTTAGGATTGCAGCCTTCAGGAGCCAGGAAAAATTAAAAAGTAAGGTGCGAGATTGGTTACACTATGCTCAAATTCAAGAGGTTTTTAAAATGGATAAAAAAGTTGGTTTCCAGGTGGAAAAATCGAAATTGGAGACGGAACTGTTAGAACCAAAGACTAAGGTACTTTCGAGAATGTATAACTTGTTGCTTAAATGGAACACACAGGATGAGATAGTTAAATCTGCCATGATAAAATGGGCACAGGATGTTGGACATAACATTATGTCAGAAGACTGGGAAAGGTTATGGAACACCGGAATGAAGTTCACGGCATGTAGTGCCTTGAAAGAAAACATTATGAAAATGGTATACCGGTGGTACATGACCCCAGTCAAGTTAGCTAAGATATATCACCTGTCTGATAATAAATGTTGGAAATGTCAAGAGGCAGAAGGGACATTCTTTCACCTCTGGTGGACCTGCCCAAAAGTGAAGGCCTTCTGGGAAATGATTTATAATGAACTTAAAAAGGTATTTAGATATACCTTTCCTAAGAAACCGGAGGCCTTCCTTCTGGGCATGGTGGACCGGAAGGTGTCAAAAAAGGATAGAACCTTGTTTATGTATGCAACTACAGCAGCAAGAATTCTCATCGCAAAGCACTGGAAGACTCAAGATTTACCCACACTGGAGGAATGGCAGACGCAGCTGATGGACTATATGGAACTGGCTGAAATGACTGGCAGAATCCGAGATTTGGACGAGGAAATAATAGAGGAGGACTGGAAAAAATTTAAAGACTATTTGCAAAAACATTATAAACTGTATGAATGTTAAGAACGTGCACGATTAGGAAATGTTATGCTTTCGCAATTTGATTAAGTAAATGGTAAAGTAAGTAATAACAAAGAAAAAAAGAGGAGACAAATGTGAAACAAATATATTATGTTTATTTTAAAGGTACAAAAATTGGGTTATAACACTCTGAACTTGGAAACATAATAATTGAAAGTTACAGTAAGTTGCGAAGTAAGGTAACAAATTGCTGACACTGTTATTGTATAGAACGCAAGGCCTGGAAGATGTGAGGAGGTCCAACTGACAGTGATAAATTATGGAAAGAGGATTTGACATATATTTATGCTTTTTTATTTTCTTATATCTTTATAATCTGTTTCTTGTTTTTTACTCTTGTATTTTTGAACTTGTGAACCCATGGAAAGAAACGCAATAAAAAATATTTATAAAAAAAAAAGGATTGCAGCCTTCAGGAACAATTTTGAAGTGTCTGGTGCCCAAACAATTGACCTGGTAAAGTCAGCACTAACGGTGCTCCTTCAGCCCTGTTCAGATGACTGCTTAGAACTGGAGGTGGTATTACCCTATAACCATAGTCTGTGGGCATATTAATCTTTGTTGTCTCAGCACGGTCTCTGGTTAAACTATTTTTGCATGGTTTTACTTTTATAGCACTTTAAGCAGGGCCTGCCCAAGACATTTCTGCACTTGAGGCAACCGCAAAACAGCATCCTGTCCTTTTCTACCAGGGAAGAAGGGGTGAGTGAAGTTCTACATCAGGAACAAGGAGGGGAATAAAGATCACCATGGGATCTGCTGCCATTGTGGATCCTGCTGCCTGAGATGGTCACTTCACCTTGCCTCATGAGTGGGTTGGCCCTGACTTCAAGCTCTATATTGAAAAGGCTAAAAGTAGATTCCACAGGGGTTTACTTCTGTCAGTGGCGTAGCGTGGGGGGTGCAGGGGGGGCCGGCCGCAACATCTGGGGGTTAGGGTTAGGGGGCGCAAATCCACGGGTTAGGGGGCGCAAATCCACGGGTTAGGGGGCACAAATTACTTGCCTTGCCCCGGGTGCTGACAACCCACGCTACGCCACTGACTTCTGTAACTGCACTAGACACGTGAAGATTTTGATATGTCAGTTAGGCAAGACTCATGACTTCCAGAATATTTTTATTCAACGAACAAACAATGCAATAAATATTTCTTTGCAGTGTGTGCTATCGTCTCCAGAACTAGAGTAAAATTCATTGTGCACGCACGATTCCCGCTCCCCATACAAATGTTATTCTGCCAGCAATTATGTGGTAGCTCAGTGAGAAAGCGCAGGCAGCCTCCAGTTGTTTAAAGTCATTCAATATTATTTCCAGTTCTTTAAAGGAAACAGACGGGATAGTGGAAGAGCAAGAAAATGCCTTTCCTATAACAACCAGATGCAGGTTTTCCAACACAACCAAATACTGTACTCATATAAGCGAATAATACACAACCCCCGCTCCTAAAGATGGATGGAAGGCATTAGAGGAAGTACAAGAAATACAAAATACGCGAGAGTACGACTGGTAGCTAATTAGGGAAGTATATACTGTACAGCCGCAAACAGCTTTTCCGGTCACACTTTTTATTTGTAGGACTCTTTCTTTCTCTGGTTCTGAAGCAAACTATTTTGCAGCTGCAAACTCCACCTCCCCGGGCGCCGCATTCCTCCGCCCCTTCTAGTTTCCACAGACCAATCAGCTTTCACTCGTTCCTTTCCCCCCCCCCGCGCGCCTCACGTGACAGCCTCATCCCAGAATCCTTTAGCCAAAATGGCAGCCTCCAGCTAATAGTGCCGCACGTGTGTATATGTGTCTCTTTTTTTGGAAAATCGAGCGGACTTAAAGTAGCTACTTTTAAAATATTCAATCTCCATCATTCAAAAGGTAGTTTGTTGCTAATTCACGGAGGCATGAAGACCAAATCGTCCTCTCACAAGTCCGAGAACACGCACAGGGTAAGATAAGGGACGGCGGGGGTGGATCAGAAACCCGGACCTTTTAGGAACTCGGCTTAGCGCTTCGGTTCGTCGAGCTGGCGAAATAGTATATTTGATATTCAGTTACATATCACTCTAAAAAGCCATTGGAGCAGAGTGGTACAGAAGCAAAAGAAGTTGGAGAGCAGCGCAACTTTTTTGCTTTCCTGTACAAGTTTTGGAAATCTGTAGTTACTGCAAGCAAACAAACAGCACCACACAAAAAACCTTGCTTATGCCCTGGGCAGTCCAAAATAGTAACTGTGTGTAGCATTTGCCACTCATCTGCTAACAAAACAGCAGGGAAACTATCAGTGTTCTTAAAATATTCTGCTTGGCTCTGAAACCTTACCTTGTCCTACTATGTAGTTTTGTGAAGTGCTGCAAGTTTTTCAACTTATTTGTGGTGTGTCTCTTGTGCTTCTAGCACTGCAAATTGCAGATAATTCTTAACTATGAGTATGGAAGATCCTGCAACAGTACAGAAGATTAGACAACATTTTCTGATTTCAAATAAGTTGTCAGTCCCATTGGAATCTGATGTCATTCAATTCTATGGGCTGTACCTTGTGACTATGTATGAAATATCATTAGAAGGGACAGCCATATAAAATCTTACTCTTTGGCAACTTCTTGTCAGCTTGATGTCTCAAAGATAACCGGAAAAAACCCCAAGAAACTCCTGTTTGTTTATTACTTCTTCTTTTTTTACAGTTTCTCACCTTCTCAGAACGCTTAAGCAATGTAAATATTGACATTATTCATCGTATTGACAGAACAGGGAGCTATGCTGAGGTAAGATTAATCTAGTTGTTTTTCATCTGTCTAGGTGTCATCTTATTCAGTGTTGGATGTGGGTGTTGAGGTGCTGGGAGCTCAGTTACAGGATGGTGCCTAGTTCTGAGCCACGGTAGGGTCACCTGACATGGGATGAAGAGGGTGGTAGACATTGTACATCCTCGCATCCCTTTGATCTAGTTACCTGCACTGGGGTGGCTAATTAATTAGCTACAGTGCTAATTTACTGCAGATCCTTTGAAATTCAATAAAGTTGTGACCCTTTAAAAAAAGATAGAGAGCTTCCTGCTGGGAGCAGCATACTTGGAACTGAAACAGGTAGTCATTGATAGAATATGTGCCTGATGTGTTGCGTTTACAATTACCATCACTGGTTATATTTGAACTTGTAGCAATCAATACAGGGACTGCCACAGCTGAATTCTGGCTTAAATATTTCCACTATATCAGTTTGTTAGGCCCTGACAAAAGCAGTATGATTGCTCTAGAAAGCCCTTATAGGGAATAACAATTGTTTTCATTGTACAGATGGGGAACTATTACAGAAAGAAATATTGTATACCATCATGCCACATCTCAGTCTGAAACAATCTGAAACAGCAATGTCTGAAACAGTACATTGCATGCAGACCCTCCCTCCCGCTTCTGGTGGTTTGGCTGCAGTTAATGCAACACATATGGGGATCAGCTTCCTTTCTCTTGCTGTTCTGTTATGCTTGTGGTTTTTGAGCAGCTTTGTGGCCAGTCTACTGGGAGTTAGGAATTATGAAATATATAATAAAATTAATAATGATCTTTGGTTTTTGTCAACATTTCCTGCAAGACCAGCCCTTTGAGATTAGGATGTTGCTCTACCAGTGCTATAGTAAATATTTTTCCTTTCAAAATCAACAATAAATGTTCTGTCTTTGTATTTGTTAACCACACTCATAGTGTATCGAGAGTCATGGGAGCAAGGTCAAGGTCGTTGGGTTGTATCCAGTGAAGTTGTTCTGTTCATGCAAGGACTTATGCTTGCACAGTGGAATTTCCCCTTCCTCCTTCCTGTGTACAAATTCAGGTGAGGAGCACAGGAAGAGGAGAGGGAGGAAAAGTTCAATTGTGCATTTCAGTCCTTGTGCAAATGGGATGACTTTGTTGGATACAGTCCATTGTATGTTGCTCTTGTCTTGTCCATAAGCCATTTTTTTTTTTTTTGTATTGGTGGCAGCCAGGCAACCCAGTTGCTGAAACAGATCAGCAATAGTATGTGAATTTACCTAGAGTCCTGTGTAGTAGGAAAATAATAAATAGCTGTTAACCTGTGTATGTAAGTCAGAGTTACTTTTATTTTCAAACATGTTTTGTTTCTGGAGATGTGAAAAGAATAATTCAAAATATGGGGGAAACTTCAATGCATACTTCATTTTCTTTCACATTATTTGGACTGTTTGCAGTCTGTAATGATAAATATGAATGTGAGCTTAAATTAGGCACAAGTTTATACACAGAACCTTGACATGCTGTCTTTCTGCATGAGAGATTGTGCATTTAGTATAGAAATTATGAAACTCAGCTGTGACTCAGGATGGCCCTGATTAGAATCTTGCCTCTACCGTCAAATCACTAGGTGGCCTGAGATAAGATGCTGTCTCTCCACCTTGCCCCATCCCATCACCTGAAATGGCATAGTAATACCAATTTACCTTACAGGGTGGTTCTGAAGATTGCAACTAGATATTATAGGTCAAGTAAGTTGAACATTCAAATATATCTTCTCTTTTGTGGGCAGCATTCCAACATAGGATCATCCATTTGCAACTTCAAGTGGTGTAGTCTTACGACAGGTCTGGTTGTCCATTTGGGGTGCTGAATTTATATATTGCACACATCAGTTCTAATCCAGAGAAGGTATAGAAAGTTATCTTCTCTGTACAGCCCCTCCTCCAGCTCCACTGTTGTTGGATCATGGCCATCTGATTGTAATATGTGATTACCAGCTGTATAAGAATTGACATGCTTTTCACAATTTCAGTTATTTTCAAATGTTATAATTGTTTCTAGGTAACAGCTCCAGTTTTGCAAACACTTGTGTAACTGTTTAAATGAAAAATGGAATAATTCAGTTGCGCTTCATACCTCATAAATATTGCACCACCCTACGAAGGCTTTTTACTTAAGCATTCCTTCAGTAATCAAGCCTGAACTGCTCCATACGAATATATTTTAACTAATATACACTCTTGATTTTGCTAGGAGGTTGAAACATATTTTCACGAAGGACTCGAGAAATGGAGGGAGCTGAACCTTACTCGCCATTTTGGTATATCTTTTCTCCAAAATATTTTGTATTAATACTTCTCATTGTGTGTTGTATAAAAGTGTTGCCGTTTTGTTGGAAATGTATGTAGGGATTAAGGGTTTGCACACAATCTATCAGTTAATATACAATTAGTGATATGAATATATTTTGAACATGGAGTGCATCAGATGAATATGCTGTGCTCTTCCTGTGCTGATTTTTGTGCAATTTTCAGTGCTAGAATAGAGGTGGCAGGATGCTTTGTTGATGTTTCCTGCTGTTTAACTTAACGTTGATATAAGCAGCACAAGTTCTTCAGTAGCCCAATCCCATCAGTGGTGCATCAGTGCAGTATCATGACCTGTGGTCCACGTGGGATGATTAGGGACATTATACCAGCATAGGCTAGCCCTTCTACACTACACTACACTACACTTAATAGTACAGCATTAGCTGGAGAAGAGAGAATGGATCAGGCTTAGCAATGATGTGCTAACGTTCTCTTGGCAGTGCTGTACCCACAACACTACTGCAATGCTGTGTACCTGACAGTGCAGCAAAAGTGAGACCCCCCTCGGCAAAATTTTTGTGTTAGGGAAAATTACAGGATTTCAGTGGGAGATCACAGGATATGCACAGAATGGAAATTAAGCTGTTTGACAGTCCCAGAATGTTTGCATACACAAATAGGATGATCACCCCGATAGCATTGTAAGCATAAACCATTACGCACAATAAAAAGGCTTCCATATGTTTATTTCTCTTTCTCTCTCTCTCTCCTCTTCTTCCTTCTTCTGTCACAATGGCACTTATCTGTTGGATGGCCATGCAAATTTACCCCAAATCCAGCACTGGGTTCTAGATCAGTGTTTCCCAACCGGTGTTCCGCGGCACACTAGTGTGCCGCGAGATGTTGCCTGGTGTGCCGCGAGATGTTGCCTGGAGGGAGGCGGGCGAGGGCGTTTGCTTCCCGGAGGACGGAGCGAGGGCGCCCCCTGCTGGGCCGGGGCTCGCTCTCCCCAGAGGGTAAATCTGGATCAAATGGGGCGAGGGGCGGGCAGAATTCTGGGGGCCACTGATGCCCTACAGACCCCCCCCAAGTCCTCCGGGGCGCGCGCTCTGCTGGGCTCTTTTCGGTCGTCGTGCTTGTGGGAAGCCGCCCCTTCCCTGGGCGACACGCCGCCTCGCGACTCCGGAGTCAGTCCCGCGGGCTCTCGGAGGGACTCGCGAGCGACGGCGCGGCGGCTCCGGGGCGCGCTCAGCCAGGCCGCCGCGCGCCCCCGCGCAGCCCCTGCTGCAGCTGCCCGGCGTGGAGCGCGACGCGGAGCCGGCCGGGCTTGGAGGCACCCAGGTAGGGCCGAGCCGGGCGAGGGCGGGGAGGTCTCGGTCTGCTGCGGGCGCAGGAGGGCGAGCGGGAGAGGGGGAGCCGTCGGGTCTCCTGGAAGGAAGCGAGGCGGTGGCTGAGGGGGATGCAGCCCCGTCCCCAGCAACAGGCGCTCCTCGAAGTGAGGCCACAAGTCGGGGCTCGGACAGGGCCTGGAAGCAGCGGCTCCGGCTCTTGGGAGCGGAGAAGGGGACTTCGAAAGCGGCCTGGAGGAGAAAAGCCCCGATGCAGCGAGAGCGGGGAGCGTGCTGCCTTGTCCAGGCCTCCTCGCTTTGTGCCGTCCGCTGCCGGGAGCAGGACACGGGGGCTCCTCGTTCGCATGCTTTCCCGGGTGATCGGTGAGGGTTAGGGTTAGGGTCCCTCAGTCCCTCGCTTTGCTGCCTCCTCCCCCCCCCCCACCACCCCCAAAGCTTGGAGGTTCCCCGGCAAGGGGGAGGGAAAAAAATTGAAAGTTACACTTTCGTGCGTCCCTCCCGGCGTGACGCTGCGCGCTGACGTCACGGGGCTGTAATGGTGGTGTGCCTCGATATTTTTTTCATCAAACAAGTGTGCCTTTGCCCAAAAAAGGTTGGGAAACACTGTTCTAGATCTCAATGAACAGTGCTATCTATAGTCATTCCACCCTATCTGCAGTTGTGGCTTTGCATTTTCCAGTAATGAGAGAGGAGGGCGGCAGAAATTTCATAAAATTTCAGCAACAGTTTCTTGTTTCCAAAATAGATATTTTAGTTTTCTTCCTTGTGGAACAAGTATTTTCCAGTCATACCTTCCAGCCAAAAGCTTTGCCACAGTTAATCCCTTGTTTGCTCATGATAATTAGAGTGTGTATATGTGTGTATGTATGAGAGAGATGGAGAGAGAAATTGGCACAGAAATCATTTGACCTGACAAGCCACTTTTAAAGCTTCATGCACAGTCAGTTCCTTCTTTCCCAGAAAGGTCTAACCTCTGAGCCTGTGTTTGAATAGGCTGTTGTCACACAAGTGAGCCATGCTAGGAGCTGTGGGGGGGTGTCCCCATTATGCATTACGGGTCTTGCATGCTGGGATTGTACTCCATGGGTGTATGGTTTTTAATCACCTGCTGGCTTTGAGCCTTCAAAGCTGGGAGCCTTGTAATATGAGCAAGAGCTGGAAGGCACGGGTAATGCATGCTGGCCATTCTTTCCAGGGCCTAATGCTGATGCAGTCCACACTAACCTAGGAGTAAGTCCTGCTGAACTCAGTAGATTAGTGTTCCTGAAACTCCATGAAACAAATCATTAAGGATTTTTTTGTTTGTTTTTTTACACAGTGACATTCTACAGGCAGGTAGTCAACAAATGCCAGTCTTTCAACCAGCTGGTGTACTATCAGAATGACATTGTGCAGAGCTTGAAAACCCACCTGCAAGTGAAAGACAGTCTTGCTTTTCAACCTCTTTTGGAGTAAGTGCCTACTGCAGTATCTAAAATATGTCTTCTGAGTTTCTGTTCACGGGGAAAAGGCTAACTGTGCATTTGTTCTTTTTAGTCCATTGGGTATCTTTGGGCAGTTAATTGTTTCTCAGTCCTAGCACTGGCAGAGGAAGAGGAGTGCAGGGGGAGCACACCACCCCCGGCAGTGCGATCCCAGTGGGGTGCCATCACAGCTGCCCCCCCGCCCGTGCTGGGTGCCATGCCCCCAGGACGTGCACCATGCCCCCTGGTGCCAGAGCATGAAGCTCTGCTACTGAGTCCTAGGCTCTCTTTTCCAGAGTGGGAATGATACTAACTATGCTCATCATGTAATGAGGTTATGTTAGCTGTGATGAACTTCAGGAGTACACTGGGTCATACGATAAACAAATACATTCACTTGTGAGCAGACCACGGGACAGTGAGATTTCCCCCAGAATTGTTTGAAATCATCACGGGATGTGTGTGTTCGAATTATAATGTGGCACCACTGACATTTTCCTGCTTTATGTATCTCAATACAGCTTAGTGGTGCAGCTGGCTCGCGATCTCCAGACAGATTTCTATCCTCATTTCCAAGACTTTTTTCTGTCCATTACAAAATTGTTGGATACCCAGGACACGGAGCTGCTAGAATGGACTTTCACCTGTCTTTCTTACCTTTACAAATATTTATGGAGGCTGATGGTGAAGGACATGTCCAATATTTATGGGTAAGCTTTTCAACAACAACAACAACAACATGGCCAGTACAGAAGTCTTATTCTGCATCATTTGCAGAATAAGCAAATAAACTCTTCTTTATTTGAGTTAGACTAGAAAAGCTTAAGGTCCCTTTCAGCTCTGATTCTTATAACCAGTGTGATAGCTAGTGGCCCTGATTCTGTGTGCACACATCGACAGCATATTTCTTTCCCTCTTCTAAATTTACTGAGAATAAAATGATATATTCATTGGGCAGTGTGGTAAGGGAAGCAAAAAGGCCTATCATGTTTACTATTGGTTTGTCTGCAAGGCTCTGTATACATGTTATACCACTGAGCTATGGCCATGATTAAATCAGTATAAAATATGTGTTAATATATTTGCTTTGCGTCCGATGATGGATTCCAGGAAGCATTGCTGGAGAAATGAATTGATCCTGCATGGTTTTTATTTTTATATTTGAATGTTGTACTTGCAGATTGTACAGCACCTTGTTGGCTCACCATAAAGAGCACATCAGAAATTTTGCAGCAGAAAGCTTCACCTTCCTGATGAGGAAGGTAAGTGATGTTGGGGCGGGGGCAAGAGAGTGTAAAAAGAGATGTGCCTTCTGTTCAAACCAAGTTTACCACTGCAGCTTTAATATTTAACATCATACAAAGTGTTACTAGGCATCTCTAGTTTGAAGGAAATGACTGTCATCCATTTAGTTCAGTGTACCTATGAAACTGCTTTATAGTGGCCCACTTTGTATGTCACGGTAAACCATAGGCAATGATTTGTCAGGGGTGCACCTTTCTGGGCTGTGTTCTCCCTTAGTGGAAACAACAAACCATGACTCAGCACTGCATCCAAACCAAGGATTGTGGTTTGCAAAACCAGTGAGTCAATAACAAACCTTTGCTATTGATTGTGGGGTGCTTTTTTTAGGAATGAAACAAACCACGATCCCTGGTTTGACAGAATGCTAAGCCATTTGTCTCCTCCATGCTAGTTAGACCAAGAGAGGAAACAAACAGACCAGTAAGGTGCAGTCGTGGTAAGCCATTAGCTGTAGTTTATTGTGACATGCAAATAAAGCCAATGAGTGAGACCATCTAGCCAGCATTGTTACCTTTAACTAGTAGCAGCTCTCTGAGGTTTTTCCTCTCTCATGTTCCCTGACCCCCCTTTTTTAAATGGAGACGCCATGTATTAAACATGACACTAGATAGAAGGCACTAGGTAGGTTGGATTTTTCTGCTTGTTGTAGAACAGTGACGGTAACTGTAGTGTTCTTAGTAACTGGTGCAATGTCCAACTATACCACATAGCAGAATAATAAGAAAAAGCACAACTTGGAGTAACGTTTCCGACATTAGTTTACTGGTCAAATGCTGAACCACTTCCCCTGAAGAACACAAATGTTTGAAATGTATTGGGAAATCTGATGACCAGTTTCTAAACAAATCCTCTTGCACCTATCACCTTCGTGTTTTCTCTTTGAGATAGTGCACTCCTTTACTTTATTGTTAGGATGCTATTTAAGCTGGACCTTTTAGGCTGGTCAGTTAATGGCTTTGGGCACCTCACTGGTTTATATTTTGTTCTGGCAATATGGTTGCCACTGGGGAGATTTTTGCTCTTGGCTTGCATTACTAGGCTTTTCTGCATGTTTGAACTGATAGCAACTCTGCTGGGGAACTGGTGGTTTCCCCACACGATAGTCTGTAAAACACGGACAGCTCAATGTAAAGAGAAGCTTGATCAGTGTAACATCAGAAGACACTCCCAAGTTCCTTAGAAAGACAGGTAAAGTATGTAACTATAACATTCTATGGTGCTTGAAATCTACTTTTTTCCATTTAGTTTATATACATTGTAGGGGTTTTTAATTAGCCTTTCTAAGTAGTATGTATGAATTGAAATAAAAGGGGTGCAAACTGTAATTTTGTTTCCTAGGTTTCAGACCAAAATGCTCTCTTAAACGTAATGTTCCATGACTTGGAAATGCACCCAGAAAAAGTAGAAGGTGTCGGACAGCTGATTTTTGAGACGTGCAAAGGCGTTAGGAACATGTTCCATTCCTGTGCTGAAACGGTAATCAGTCCAAGTGCATGAAGCAAATGAAAAATTATAAAGTGCCTGATTTGGTAGTGAATTTTTAACTTGCTTCCATAGATGATTGGTCTAGGTTGTTTTGCCCTAAATTCCCCCTCAACCCAATAGACAAAAAGCAAGTTTATTTCACACATTTCAAGAAGACTTTCAGGATATTATATCTCTAGTTCTTTTTTCTTTTTTAAAAATTATTTAATCAGTCAATACTTGGCACAGTTTCAATAAGTAGAAACTGTGTGTGTGTGTGTGTGTGTGTGTGTGTAATATATGGAATGTGGTGTAATGGTTAGAGTGTTGGACTCTATGTCCTGGGAGAACAGGTTTTAAATCCCCACTCAGCCATGAAGCTCACTGGGCGACCTTGGGTCATTCACTGTCTCTCAGCTTCCCCTACCTCATGAGGTTGTTGTGAAATAAAGTGCAGGGAACCATGTATACCACCACCTTGAGATCCTTGGAGGAAAAGGCGGTATATACCAAAAAAAGAGTATGAATGAATAAATAAATAAATAAAACAAATTTTGGGTGGAAAACTGTCCTAGTTGTACAGGGTGAGTCTTTTAAAAGAGGCCCCATGGAACATGTGCACTCTGTATCCACGGGGCCTCTTTTAAAGGACTCACCCTGTATAATGCTAATCTTGCATAAAGGATCAGATTGCCATGAAGCAGCAGTAGCCTCCTTTAAGCTGAAAGTTGTTTATTGAGGAGTAAATGAGTTTATGACCAAGGTTAGAGTGAAAAATATTTTAAATGTGAACTATTTTAAAACATTAAAGATGCGTGTAATTCCCCCCCCTCCCCAGGTTATAACATTAATTCTGAAAAAGCTGGGGCCACTTACAGAAACAGAAGTGACCCTCTCCTGGAACTTGGTTGGTGAAGCTTTCGAACATATGGCAAAGTCAGCTGCTGGATTCATCTATAAAGAACATTTCAGTGTATTTTTCAGATGCTTGCAAGTGAGTTGTAATTAATTAAAATAGAAAGAGGCTCTACCCTCTACCCTCTACCCTCCTTTGAATTATGGTGGTATGTGGCAGGAGATGGGAAAGTCATGTGGTGAGTGTCATGTGTTGAGGTGGCAGGTATCCAGAACCATGTTATTTTACCGTTGTCAACAGTGAAATGAATGATGTTACACACTCTGATTTTAACAATGTTGCCTGTAGAATTGGGTGGGAAAACACTGTCCTTAATATATAAAACTTTAAAAAACTTTTTAAAAGCTGCTTGTAATTGTAAATAACAAGCAAAACTTGTAGTTTGTCTGAGATGTCCGTTCTTCATGAAGTCCCATTCATGTGGTCTGAGTAAAGGGGTGAGAAATAAGGTTATAAACCACTGAATTGCACTTTTTTGAGGAACCTTTCGTCTAGTTAAGCAGCAGCAGCAGCAACAATGGAAACATCAGACTTTTGGGTGCAAAACCTTTTTTTTTTTAATCAACCACATAGAAATCAATACTTGAACTGCAAGAAAAGATAACGAAGGACAACTGCTGTGAAGCTTCTGAACAGATTGAGAGGGTATTGCAAGTGTATTTGATCTTAGCAGAATATGCACAAGGCTCCAAAATTGTTCAGCCTGAAGAAGTTTGTAAGGTCAGTAAAACTTTCCTCTGCTAGAACAGAACATGTACATCTGGAATGAGAGAGGATATGAAGCAAGGTGGAAGTAAAGCAGGAAGCATTGTTTAGCTTTGTCTTTGAGGTTATTTCAAGGGTTTGGATCTAGTGGTAGAGAGGGTGCAGCTACAAGTGAAATTTATTAGTCATCTTCAGCAGCTTGGCAAGAATTCTGTTGATCTAGATTAACTGTTGGTCTATGACTAATAACCTGATGGGTTCATTGTTGATCTAGATTCACTTTTTTTTTTTTTACAACACTGACTATTTTGCTATATTGTTGTGCTATGTCAGAGATATTATTCAAGAAGGAAGGGAGCCAGTGTGGTGTAGTGGTTAAGAGCGGTGGTCACGTAATCTGGGTAACCGGGTTCGCGTCTCCGCTCCTCCACATGCAGCTGCTGGGTGACCTTGGGCCAGTCACACTTCTTTGAAGTCTCTCAGCCTCACTCACCTCACAGAGTGTTTGTTGTGGGGGAGGAAGGGAAAGGAGATTGTTAGCTGCTTTGAGACTCCTTAGGGTAGTGATAAAGCGGGATATCAAATCCAAACTCTTCTTAGTGCAAAGGAATGTGGTATCAAAAAGATTTAGGGATAGGCATGACTCCAAATGAGATGAACTGTGGTCTTAGGCCCCACTACTATACTGTTTTAGGTAACTAATGAAGACCTGGACAGCTTTTTGAAAAGGCCTTTAGTTAATTCTACAATTTTGCCAGTTCATTTCTTATATTTCTTTGTGCTGCTTGAATGTTTATTGTTCTTTTTTAAAAATAATGTCTGTTTTATTCTGTTTTGTTTTTTTACTGTCTGTTAGCAGCTTTGAGTCTCCTTCAATAAATAGGCAGGATGCATTTAAAAAAAATAGATACTGTGCAGGTCACTTCTGACTAGTCTTATAAATCAGAGATTTCATTTAAGCAAACAACGAAAAGCTTCTAGCACTCATGACTTCAGATAGAAACAGGAATTCTAGTTCTTCTTGCTGGAATTTCTAAGTGTGTTTTTAATTGTTCATATTTTCATTTCACAGACGTTAACAAAACTGATAGAAACACCGGACCTCTCAGTGCCCTGTCGTGATACTCTGCTTAAAGTTATTTCTGTTCTGTTTCTTGATGAGAATGTCTTATTGCCTGATTCATTGGTCAAAGAAATTGTTGAAAAGGTAACAAAATGTTAGGCTGGACTTGGTTGAATACTGTATTATGAACATTCCACTTTTGAGCACCTGGTCTGCAAGACTTGATTCATACATTACCCTTTTCTGTGAGTGAATATATGTGAACAGGCTCACTTTCCCCATATAAGTCTTCTGGAAATAGGAACAAATCTATTTTCTTCTGGCAACCAATACAGGCAGATCCAGCTGGGCATAAATGCCAGAGTTTCTCTCCTCCCAGCTGAGCAGCTGAACTGCTAGGATCAAAGTAGTAGTTGGAAGCTATTTGCCATAAAAATCTGAGTCTATATCTTGAGAGGGTTTTGTAGGGGAGAGCCATAGCAAAGTGGCAGGGTTGTCCAGACCCCTCTGGTGGCAGGACTGCATAAGAGGTCCACCTGAGACCTTTAGTTGGAGTAGATATTACTGGTAGATGTCTGAGTGCAGTTTCATATTGTCACACATGGGTTCATATACGCAAGCAGCCTGATTGACAACTGCATTTAAAGAGATGTGCGTGTCTGCAAGTTTTGCATGATCAGTGACTATTTTTTTCTGTACGCTAATGCAGTTAATACTGGAAAAGACATCACAGATAAGGTGGTTCCCAATTCGTAAGTTTTGCATCTCAATTTCCTTTGGGAGCAAACAGATTTTTGCAGATTATCTTTTGGAATCAGAATTTCCCATCGTCCTTCAAAGTAATCCCAATGAATCTGGAACCAGGTCTTTATTTACTTCAATTTACTGTTCATGTGCTTTTTAATAGATCTTCAGAGGTGGATTTGAAAGGCGTTCTCTATGGGATTTTTCTAAAGTTATGTTTCCAATGGAACAATTTGAAAAGGTAGGTGAAGTGTTTACCCCTTTTTCAGCAGCTTGAGAACTACATCTTAAGGAGAGAGAAGTTAGTGTGATCCTTGTCTTGTCTCCTTCCCTTTCCAGCAATTTCTTCCCAGTCTCCTTGAGTATGCTGAGCACTGCATTTGTGGAGAAGATGCTCTGGTTCAGGAGGAGGCCTTGGCAGTTCTGGCTAAACTCATTCTAGAGAAAGCAGAACCTCCCACAGTTGGTTCGATGGCCTTTGAGAAGTATCCCTTGGTTTTTATGGAATCTGCTAAAGGGTATGTGACTTGAGCAGTTGCTTTTGAGCTGTATCTGTGGGAAAAGAGCAGGTTGCAATGTTCTATTCCGGTCACTTAAGTATTAAAACGTACTTTGGATTCATAAAACTATGCTACTTTTAAATACCAAGGACGAGGGAACGTGTGGACATCTCCCATTTCCCTCAACCAGCATGGATGGCCCAGTGGTCAGGGATGATAGGAGTTGTGGTCCAGCAACATCTGGGAGGCCACATATTACTTATCCCTGCAGGCAATCTTGTGTATCTGTTGTAACGGCATACAATCGATTTAATTTTAGATTGAATAGAAGACAGTTGCGAAGTAAAAGAACCGAAGTGAAAGAACAGAAGACTGTTTTGGATCACATTCTGTCTTGCATTCAGATACCAGAAAACAGAAGCACGGCTGATCTTTCAAAACCCTGGGCAGCTCTTGTGGTACTTCCTCACATAAGGTGAACATGTGAGGCATTTATTTACTAACTTATTTCTATAAAAGTAGACCACATGTAGGGTCACTGATTTGTAAGTCTCTATCAAAGCAAACAAGTGCAGTTATTCTTCTGTATGTTAGGCTCTCATAACAAATGAGCTGGGGGTGTCTACTGTGACGTCGGAGGATATAGAAATAAAACCCTGCTTCTATGGAAAGCCCAAATGGCCTGGAAAAGAACACTTTTGCATCTTTCTTCTAAAGATTCAACACCTTTTTGTGATAGGATTTTTTAAAATATTTTTTATTTTGGTAGCACAAAGACAGAGGCAGTAACACATCTTAAAACCTTTTGCTGGAATACAGTGTGCCAAAAGCAAAAAAGAAAGAAAGAAAGACCCAAGAGTTGCATCTTTTGCAACACTGCAAACCATCTTGGGGCACATCTTGATTCCACTCGCTGCTTCATTGCTGTCCCTTGATATATTGCTGACTCAAGCGATATTTCCAGCATTTCTGGTCAGCCCAGTTTTAAGCTGTGGTAAAGGATTAATCAAAATGAACTCTTCTCAAATCCAAAGATGTACAGTTAAAAACAGCAACAATGAAAACTTGTTTTGTATTTCCATATCCCATCAGTATTCAAGGGCATTTATGTAGTGGTTGTTTCTGTTGCCATGACAACCACTTTATTTGGGTTGCATTATTTTGAAGCATTGTGGCTAGGGTTTTTTGTGTTACTGTTTTTTTTGAGGGGAGGGGGAAGAGTGCCCCTAGCCACTTGGAATAGCCCTGAAAATGTTGATCTTAGTTCACGAATTATAGGATAACTGGAAGAAGGGTGGAATTTACAGTGAAAGATAGTACTATATCCACTGAATCTGTAGAACCAGCTTGTCAGTTAATAAATCCCAGTTAGCCAGTGCAGCAAGCTATAGTTATTGCCACACCCAAGCTTTGAAATTCTCTGTCCATGAGATCAGTTTTGCTCCCATCCTTTTTTTGGCCTTCTGCCTTCGTTTGCTACAAGGTTGGCCCAAGAGGCTTTGCTGCCTGAGACAAAGGGCTCCATGTACAAAAAAACCAGACTGTACTGGCAGCCATACCTTCCTTCTATGTTGCAAGCAAGACAGCCTCTCTCAGGTGCAGTGGGTATTGCTCTGCAAGAGGTGGAAGGCACTTGGCAAATGGAATGCTGTTTCCCAACACTGTGTCACTGTTCTCCACCCCTCAGCACCTGCCACTTCAAGGCAGTTGCCTCATTCTACCTAACAGCAGGGCCAGCCTACTTCTCTGTTTAGAAAAGACCTCTTAGGTCTTTTTTTTAAAAATTTATTGCTTCCCCCCCAATTGTTTATGTTCCTTGGCCTGCTGTTTTGTTTGACTTGGTGATTTCCTCTTTGGTTTTATTAAAAAAAAAAATTATATGCAAAGGTGAGGTATAAATATTTTAAAATAAACGAAACCTGACTTCAAGCTCATTCATAAAGGTGTGCAAGTTCCTTCTCAAGTTGAAATAGAAATTGAAGTTTACATAGCAATGACTCAAAGCTGCTGGCCTTACAGTAGCTATTGGGACCATTGTTACAGCCGAAACAGATCAAATGGTAATCAGACAATTAGCCATTACACAATTGCCTTTTAAAAAGTAAATTTCAGGAGGCTTGATCTGGATTGGGATCCTGCTGTGTGAGTATGGGAGGTGTTAACCCTTTGCCCCTCCTTGTAGTCACAACCCTGACACTTGTGGTTTGGATTTGGTGTCATGGCTAGTTTGATTACATATTCTTGAATCAGTCCAGCCCTGGTTAGTCAAGACACTGGGTGTGTTTGTGGGGGCGGGGGCTAAACCCACTTATGTGGAAGTAAATTCCATGGAAGTTAGTGAGACTTGAGACTTGCTTCTGAGTAAACACACATATCATTTTTCTTTTATTTAATTAGTACTTAAGGATGCGTAACTTTTTCTAGGTTTTATCTTATACACTTCACTGCAGCTGTGTTAAGTTTGTATCTCTGTATCTAACAGGCTGCTTGTCAAAGAGAAAATCCTACCAGAAGTTAAAGGTTACGCTGAGTATCTCTTCACTGCTCTTGAGACAGGACAGCCTTGCAAAGGTGAGCTGTTGAAAGTAATTTCTCATTCTGCAATGGTGGGTAAAACCAGCATTCTTTGAAAGTGAAACCGATCTCTGCAGAAGTCTTCATTGCAGCTTGTTCATGGTGCACCAAAACATTATTTAGCATTACATGGGAAAGCAGCCAGTCTTTTGCATTTTGTATAGACTTTTTAAAGTTAAAGCGCTCCCTAATGGTGTGGTCACAAAGCATGGATTAATATATAACTTATTCCTGTTGTTTGTTTCCCCAGGAAGCCTGTTTGTGGTCTGCCAAGCTGTGAGCACACTGCTTAGTTTAGCAGAATCCTTGGAAATTCTAGATCTGTTACCAGTGGAACGCATAAAGACTTTGTTGATGTATGTAATGGGGAGATGGAGTTTGCCTTTTATATATGGAGCAATATGTTGGGCTTGGGTGTGCTTGTTTAATGCTGTGTTTTCCAAAGTTTAGAGTGCATGCATTGGCCAGTCGTAATCATTGGGTTGAGGCATTTCTAACCATATTGCCAGATCAACAGTTTGCTTCAGGTTAAAGACAAATAACACACACGTTAAGTATTAATATTTTACTTCTCATCCATTTTTGTTTATACAGTGGTACCTCTGGTTGTGAACAGGATCCGTTCTGGAGGTCCGGCCGCATCCTGAGGAATTCTCAACCGGAGGTGCTGCTTCTGCGCATGTGCGCAGTGCGGTTTAGTGCTTCTGTGCATGTGCGCAGCACGGTTTAGTGCTTCTGCGCATGTGCGCAGCACGGTTTAGTGCTTCTGCACATGCGTGCGCTACAAAACCCAGAAAAATACTTCCAGGTTTGCCACGTATGTATCCTGAAGGATACGTGACCAGAGGTGAACGCAAACAGGGGTACCACTGTATTTAATTATATATTGGCTGATAGTAACACGCCTCTTTTCCCCAGGGCGTTTCCTTCAGACCCATCTGCCTTGCTGTTGGCTGATCTCTATTGTACAAGACTGGCATTGTGTGGGTACTATAAACATCTGTCCCAAGAGAGTCTGATGGAATTGCTTTTAAAATTGCAAGCCAATATTTCAAGCAGTGTATCCAAGGTAACATTTATTTTCTAACAGTTTCTTGCTGAATGCATAGTGTTTCCAAACAGTTACTCTTGAGGTAGAATTCCTTAATGGAGAAGCTGCTCAGGGAGCGTCTGTCATAGGACTGCAGGCTTCTCCATCCCCTCAGCTGAGAGACCAGCCGATTTAGGCTCCTCTTCCCTATGAACTTCCATTCCAGCTGGTCGTTCAAAGAAAACGAGTTCGCTTTTTTCCTCCTCCCCCCTCAATCTCTTTTACTTATGTGCCACATGTTTTAGATTTTAAGGCTAAAAGATGTTTGTAAGATATTTGTAAGTTGTTTCGGGAGTTTATTCTTGGCTAAGGAGTAGGAGCAAAATACTTTATGTAAATAAATGATAAATTAATACCTTTCAGTTGCATCCTTTTCATTATACCTGATTTTGCAGCATGAAAAATGTAATTAAATCTGATTTCCCCTTTGATAGGTACGACTGTTGACAATAAGGATTTTAAATCATTTCGATGTCCAGCTTCCTGTGGGGAGTGAGGTAATATTTCATGTAAAATAATGCTGTCCGGGTGCTAAGTAGCTAAGATTGCACTGGGAGATAAAACATTGTATAGTTTTACTATTACATAATTCATTGAATGTTGTTATGAGGCTCTTCTTTTCTAGGTAATTTAAGCTTTAGATCTTCTGCTTAGTGAGGGCTTAGTTATTCAAAAGTGTTGGAGAAACGTAAGAGTTTTAGACATTTGTCTTTTTGGAGGGGAGTGGTTGTGAATAGGAATGTCTTGAATTTAAATGCAGAGTGGTGTGTTTTTCCTGGTTGAAAATGATTATTTGGTGTTACTACAGCTCAGTCGCTGGGTGTGTTGTTCTTTTATTACTGTCTTGCCGTTTTTGCTGTACATTTTTTGATACCGTATTTATGTGAATCTTAATGCACCATCAAATCTAATGCGCACTTCAATGTTCAAAACCTTGAAACCAAAAAAGTATTTGCTATGTAAGCAGTGTTTTTCAAGCTTGCAGTCAAATCTAATGCGCCATCAAATCTAATGCACAGCCTAATTTTTGCAACGTAATTTGGCCACAAATGGTGCACATTAAATTCGAGTGAAAACGGTATATTTGATCTTCGGCTGACTTCTAACAGCTGTGAGGGAACTCGTAAGATTCCACGAAGCTTTGTTTTACATAAATCTTGTAACACCAGCTGTTTCTTTTGCTTTTTGCTAAGGATATGGGCGTGGGGGAGCTGCAGTCTGTATTTGCCATATTGCTTCAAGCTGAACTTGTGCCAGCAAGCATCAATGATTATCGTGAGAAACTGCTCCACCTAAGGAAGCTGAGGCATGATGCAGTCCAATCCCTGACCCCTGCGGGACCTTTACAGGAGGTAGAATGTCATTCTTGAAGGACATGCTACAGCTTTTCCCTTCTTGCTAAAGAAGGTCACGTACAGATTGTGTTTCCTTTTGTACTTCATCATAATAGGCTTAACATGTGGGCGTTTTGATAACTGGTTTCAAGAAAGAAATTAGCTGTAGTGGCTGAGATCCAGGTCCTGTGTGTCATGCACAGAACAAAGGTGGCCCTATTTTTCTCCTTTGTTTAAGAACATGGGGGAGCCCCTGTCTATGTAAAACTGTGGGCAGTGAATTATATTTCTGAACTGGCTGTTGCTAAACAAATGAAAACTATTAAGGGAGATTTGTTTCTGTTAGCAGCTGTGCTTTTACAGCTGAAGAGGGTTCTCTTTTGTTTTTCTTTTGAAGAAAAACTGGTTTCCCTTTACTGTTCTCCAAGTTTACTTTTTGCATTTGTAAAATATTATCTTGTCTTTCTGATCTGTCCCAAATGTTGTCTTTAGTCCATTAGCATAATGCCAGGTGTTATAACTGGCCAGATGCTTGCAGAGGGAGGGTCTGTATATTGCACAGACTACAAGGGGTGGGTTTGATGCAGTGCTTCACTAGATCTTAGATGTAATGCATGGAGGGGGGAAGCAAGGTCTCCTGGACCCCACCCTCTGACCTCCACACATTTTCAGAGGAACTTGCACAATTACATGTGCAGCCAGGAAACCTGATGCAATAGAATTCCCAGTGGCTAGTGCAAACCTATGTACTTGCAGCCTGTTTTCACCGTATGTACTATTTTTCTTTTTGAAAAGACAGAATGATTCCAATCCCTCTTTGTGTGTTTGTTCTATGTGTGGAGGGGAATTGAAAATACGCCTAGTGCGTCTCCATGCACCGAGCACCTATTGAAGGCCAGTTCATGCTTTTCCTTCTTTGCAGTGGCATCCTAAAGAACTTTGTCACCCACTGCTATAGGAGGAGACGGATAATTCATTTACATATTGTTACAAAACACAAGGGGATGTGTTTTGGGAAACCATTGCAGTGAAGCAGGCCATTGATATTGCTCCAGTCTTAATATTCTGAGGCTTTTTCTCCTTTGTCACAGTAGAATGAGAGGAAACTTTTTGATTTACTAGAACAATTGAGTTACTAGAGCTTTTACAGGGACCAGGCAAATTAACGGATTGTAAATGTTAAATGGAAATGTTTGGTTTTGTGAGAATGAGTACCACTAATAAATGTATTAACGATGCTTTAAAGATACAAAAAAACCCATATTGAAATATTATCCTAGGTGCCTCTTCGGTATTTACTGGGAATGCTTTATATCAACTTCAATCCATTGTGGGTTCCTGTGATTGAGCTTATAGCGTAAGTATTTCCTCCCACTCCTGAATAATAAAAACTGTATAAACAAATAAAATATAAAATTGATCTGGGTGAGAGTTCTACGTGTATTTTGATAGATGGGGAAATTAATTTAATTGCAAGGCATATTTCTGCTTGGATTGCTGAATGCCCTGTTTTAAAAGTGAATGGTTTGCATCTTCATGTGTTTGGGTCAAATTCATTCCTTATTTTAGAAAATGTCCTCCCTGCTTCCTAAGCCTAAACATTTCTTTATCTTATTCATAAATATAAGTTTGTTATGTTCTCATTTTACACATTCTTAACTGAAGCAGAGTGGGCTGTTAGTAAAACAATGGCTGAGCTAAAATTTGATTCCAGGCTTCCCATATAATGAAGAGAATGATATAGGAGTGTATATTTATAACAGGAATAGGAGACCTCTGGCCTTCCAGATTTTGTTTGACTCCAGCTTCCATCATCCCTGACCATTGGCTATGCTGGCCGGGACTGAAGGGAGTTGGGGCTTATCAACATCTGGATTCTCACATGACCAGAAGGAAGCCTTATCAACTAATATCAGAAAACTGTAGATCCTTAATAGTGTCAGTGAACCAAATAGGACAGCCTTGTTTTTATGCACTATCTTGGTAGACCTAGCTGACCAGGATCTGCAAGCTGTAGTGCATGATATTCCATGCTGGGGAGTGAGTGGGCCGGCAGAGGAGTAATGGAGTACTTTGGTTTCTATGCTGAGCACAGAGGGGGGGATCAACAGCTCTCTCGTCTCTGCCCAGCATGGAAATGCAGTGCTGTATACTTTCTTTTCCAACTCCTAGTTGACTGGTATTATTTTTCTTCCTTTATGCTGGTAGTATTTGTAGTTTTATTTTATAGGCTGAAGTTGCCCAATTTTACATCCCTCCCTTTATTTTTTTAAAATTAGCTCTCATGCAAATGAAATGGAAAACAAACAGTTTTGGAAAGTTTACTTTGAACATTTGGAAAAGGCCGTCATTTATGCTGGTAAGAGAAAGCCACTTTAATGGTTTCATAATAGTCCAGCCAAGATCAGAGCTGCTCATGAACTAAATCTAGGGGTTTCTGATTTTGTACAATTCAGGAGAGTTTTTCTCTCTCTCCTCTCCCACTCCATTCTCAGTCCCAGATTGGGAGGTGTTCAAGTGTCTCAAAGTTGTTTCACCTCTCTTCCTGTTGCTGCTTTTGTTCTCCCAAGAAAAGAAACTAGTGGTTTTCACTGGTCCAGCTTGGAACAACTTCAAGGCATAGAGAGGCTACATGCAGTGGTGGGAGCAAGGCTTCTCCTTCCTTGACCATTGGCCATGCTGATGGTAGTCCCACAACACCTGGAGGAGACCATGATAGCTACCTCTGCTCTATACAAATGTTATGTGTGCCTGAAGACATTCAGCAAGCTTTATACATGGGGTGAAAAGCTGTGGGTCTCTCAAGGGGCCACAGCTTGCGAGGTGCTGGGGTGAAAGTGCTTCAGCTCCCATGATAAGAGCTGCGGCAGTTTCACCTGGCATCTCGCCGGCTGGGGTCAAGGCAGCTTTTTAAAACATCATGGTATATCGCCAAACTGCGATGTTTGGCTGGTGATACACTGCGATGTAGAAAACCCAACATCGCCCAGCCCTAGGCTCCACTTGTCTTAACTATAGCTGCATCAGCTTGTTGGAACATTTTCTAATAAATCTGTTCTCTCGCTTTTTATGACATACCCTCCAAGAGCAGCGGGGTACTGTATTAGCTGCAGTGCCTTCAGAACAGTAAATAGAACTTACGGCCTTGTACTAATTCATGATCAGAAGCTTCTAAAGGGTAATAAAATAGAATTTTATTTTTGCTTTTTCTCTAGAGAGAGAGCTACATAATGAGCTGGAAGAAGATCAGTGGGACATTATGGATGCTCAAGGAGAAGAAATCCATGGAAGAGACGTCAGAACTTTGTATCTTGAGCAGCTGAAATGTCAGACATGCTGCAGTGAGAGGACAGATCACGCGAATTTTAGGCTGTTGCTTTGGAAGGCAATGTCAAAATTTCCGGACAGAGTGGAGCCCAGGTCTAGAGAACTCTCTCCACTTCTCTTAAGGTTTATTACGTGAGTATTTTCACCAAGGGTGGGCCAGAGAGGGAATAATTTTTGAGTACTGGTTTTAAATGCTATCGAAAGTACCTGTGTAATTTTTAAGACAACTTCAGGGATCGCTCTATATTTGTGTGCAGACATGTGCGTTTGTGTGAGTGTGCATGGGTGTTGGAGAAATGGGAAGTGGCTTGGGAGGGCATTCCAGGCAGAGGAAAGAATAGAAAAACAGAAAATAGAAGGTTCTAGTAACTTCCATGAGTTGATGACAGACAGACAGACAGACAGACAGACAGACAGGGCCTACCTGGTCGGGAGGAGCTGCAACACTTATCTCCCCAACAGGTGTTTTGCTTCCACTTACTGGGAGGCATGATGGTGAGATGGTGAGGAGGTCAGTGGGCGAGTGGCAGCAACACATTATCTGGAAAATAAGCACCGTGGCTCTGTGCCACCAGGCAAACAACTTCTGGAAAGAGGCTATAAAGATAGCTAAATGTCAGTGTTAAATATAAGCAGTAGGAGTTTGAGGTTGGTGTGTAGAATAACAGGGAGCCCATGTGGAGACTTAAGGAGAGGGAGGTGTGAGGTAATCGCAACATGAAATATATATTTTTACCGAGGCATTTGAATAAATCGAAAAGAGAGAAGCAACAGGCAGGAAGGTCTAACTAGAAACAGGCTGCAGGAGTTCTAGCCCAGGGGTTGGCAAGGTTTATCTTGCCTGGGCCGGATCGGTCCCGCGGAGATCCCCCTGTGGGCCGGATTGTGCATGCGCATGAGCGAGTGCACCCATGATTTTCTGTGCGTGTGCATATGCAATTTCTGGCACCGAGGAAATGAGTCCCTGCGCCTCGCTGCACCGCACCAGTTTAGCACAGCGCGCGAGCGGGCAACTCAGTTCAGGGGCTGCTCGTGGGCCGGTCAAACGACCTCCACGGGCCGCTTCCGGCCCATGGGCCTTAGGTTGCTGACCCCTGTTCTAGCCCATCCCTTTTTTGTTTTCTTGCTTTTCTTTTTACAGCAACGAATACTATCCTGCAGATTCACTGGTAGCTCCAGCACAAGACCTTAGAAAGAAAAGCGGTAGCAGTGTAAAACGAGACCTCACCGTGGAAGGAGATGCAACAACCATGAAAGATGATGAGAAGGATGAGGATGAGAATGAGAATGAGGAAGAGAAGGAGACTTCTGAAGAGCCAGTGAAGGAAGAGATGCCAAAAAAGAAGACTAGAAGAGCTGCGTCAAAGTAAGCTTTACTTAATTATTTGTCCCACAAATATTGGAGAAGATCAGGTTGGGAAGAGGAGGGGTGGGGTAGTGAAACTTATATTCTTTTACATAGTGTACGTGTAAAGTGAAGAAGATCACTTTTGAATGTAATTTGGCTTGTGGTTCTTGTTCCCCCATGAATGGCCCATCAAAAATTGGAGGTTAAAAGGGGCAGTCCAGGGCTGCTTCCAGAGGGCTTTCAAACAGCTCCATAATATGGCCCACAAACTATAAAAAGATCCCCACCTCTTATGCAACAAGAGAACATACTAATCACGCTATGAAACAAAGAACAAAAGCTCTTTCAGTGATGGAAAGATCGCAAATCATGGTTGGTTCTGGCTCGTCATTGCTGTAGTGCTAAAATTCTGCATTTGTTGGTTAGAGCATGGTGCTGATAACACCAAGGTTGCAGGTTTGAACCCCGTATGGGACAGCTGCATATTCCTGCATTGCAGGGGGTTGGACTAGATGATTCCTAGGGTCCCTTCCAACACTACAATTCTTTGATTCTATGATTTTCTATTCTGAGAATTGTAGGCCAGGATTGAGGGCATCGTGTGTGTGTGTGTGTGTGTGTGTGTGTGTGTGTGGAATGCTGTTCTTGATTGTGACAGAACTCCAGCCTCAAAAATTCTTGTTCCTCAATGGAATTTTTAAAATACCTATATCAGTAACTCAAGAAGTAAAAGATTTATGGGCCAAGTGTTAATGAATCTTTAGTGAAGGTTTTTCCTCCCCTCTATTGACCCCAGGGTCATTTCTCTGTCAGTGTCCTTCCACTATTGTTTAACTTTAGAGCATAAATTCTTCACTTACTGGTGCAAATAGATTGTGGCAGGTTTATGACAGAGACAACCAACTCCTGTATTCTTGAGGGGCTGTTCTATCCTAGAGAAAATGGCCTATTACACAAAGTGACTGCCTCACAAGTAGTAAGTCTTCATAATTAACCTGCTGCTATTTAGCTCTAAAGGTTGTGCTGCAGTTGCAGATCAAATGTATGCAGCCATAGCATTATATAAACATTTTTTCTATGACGTGCATATTCTTTAGATTCAGGTTGTGTTCACTTATCCTGATAAGCATGATTTCTGGCTTATGGTTTTACGCTGTTGCACACTGTCTAATAGGTCCTGTTCCACTCCTCCTTTGGTGGGAGCAGAAGAAATAAACCAGGAAGACACAATTTAGCTTGACTTTCCATTGCATCTGAACCTGAGACTAGCCACAATCCATGTCAGCAACAAGCCATGGTTTAAGGCGAACTGGAAGTTGCCATGTTCTTGGATGTAACAGGAGGCCAAGCTTAGCAGTGGCTTCCTAGTTGTTCTTCTTGTGCCAGGGGATGAGTGAAGCAGGAATGATCAGCGGTGTACACAACCATATTGCTTGATCATGGTAAACCATGGTAAGCCGCAAACCATGGTTTATTATGATGTGTGAAGAAGATCATTGGGTGAGGATAGTATGAGAAGCTGAGTCAATTTGTGAATGGCTAGAAGCTGGGGATTTGGATCAGTTCTGCCTACTTTTATCACTAGGATGACTTATTACAACTTCTCTCCTCCTCTCCCAAATTCTGCTCTTCCTCCTTTCAGCAAAGGGAAGATGAACTACTGAGTGATACACTTGTGTTGAAAACCCTGGTTTTTATTAGCTTTCCACAGCCTTTGAACGTGCTTCAGTAGACTTCCTTCTACTTTTTTTAAAAAAAATTATTACCGGAAATCAATTTTTTTGATGATGACTCAGAACAATTGCTTTCTGCTGTTAACTTCTGTGTTCCAATTTCTTTTTCAGACAGCTCATCACCCACTTGCAGCTGTTTGCCCAATTTTCAAATCCACGTGCATTGTATTTAGAAGCAAAATTGAATGAAATATACACTCAGGTGAAACTTCTTCTTTTCAATTTTGTCTAGATGTGTGTGTAGTTGTTGTCCTGCAAGGACCATGCCAATTTCAAAATGACTTGGTAGACATGTCTGTGCAAAATATATGTTATCTTTTGAAGCAGTTAAGTTTGCCAATGTGGTATTGTGGAAGTCATCCCTGATTAACCTACACCAATGCTTGCTACTAAACTGACTTTCTGTTGTTGTTCTTGAAAAATTCTGAATAAATGAGTTTCTTAAGCTTTTTAACAGAGTTAAATTCCTACAATTGGAATGATGGACAATGTTAAGGATTAGTGGAAATTGTGTTCTGTTTAGTATCTCTGTGTAAGGCCAAGGCTTTTCAAATTTGCTTACTGTGTTTGTGGAGGGGCTGCTCAAGCCAATCTCCCCAATAATCATGTATTTTATCATTTATTTATTGCACAAATATTATATACTGCTTGATTGTAGAATAAACCTCTTAAGCATCTTGCAAAATTAAGGCAAACAACTGCAGGCTGCTTTGTTTACCTCTCTCCTGTCCTGTTCCTCTTCGTCAGGCCAGCCAAAGGGATGTGTGACTGGGCACAAGATTAGTTACATCACTGAGAAATCTCAGAAAAATAAAAGCCTATGGGGAGAGGGGATTTACTAAAGCAATGTAAGTTGGAATCTGGCCTATGTGTGCTTTCTTCTGACTTATTTTTTCTTCTTCTTTCTTCAGCTGCTGTCTCATCAGGACCAGAGTGTGCAAAAAGTAGCTCTTGACTGTATCATGACATACAAGCATCCACACTTGCTGCCATACCGGTAAGAAGTTCTACAGGTGGGATTCAGTGGGTATTGCTCTGCTGATGGAAGGCATTAACTCCTCCCTCTTAGCTCCCCAAATTTTGCTCCAGGGGCTCCTCAATCCTCTGGAGCTGGTGGGGAGGCGGAGTGATGCAAGAAGGGCAGGGGAGGAGTTGCTGGGAATTCTGTCCATCCCTGTTGCGCTAATGGATGCCTTCAGTCGGTGGAGGAACTCTCGCTCGATTGCACCCCCTGTTTGATTTGGCTGTTTGTTTTGCTTCAGCCATCATATAGGAGAAATATTTCATGGCCAGAGCAAATGGTGCCTAAGTGTTCACACATGCATGTTCTTGACAGGCGCTCTCTTCGCCAAGCATAAACATAATTTGTTTCTAGGATCTATGCCTTTGTTTTCTAAGATATTGCGTAGAGAATCTTTTTCTTAATCTTGCATTATCTACTTACAGAGAGAACTTGGAACGTCTACTGGAAGACAAGAGCTTTAAGGAAGAAATAGTTCATTTCAGCATTTCTGAAGAAAACACCACAGTAAAGGCGCTGCACCGGCCAGAGCTTGTTCCTGTTCTAATGAGGTTAATGAACTAATCTGTATAGGTTCCTTATGGGTCTTTACAAATGAAATATGACAATGTATGGGCCTACTTCAACAGGAAGATGGTCTGATTTTTGGACCTGCTTCTCAGGTTTCACTGTGAATTCCAAATACTATATGGGTTACTTAACCCACTTTTTCCTTTTTAGTGGAAAACTGTCTTCTGTAAGTTAAGTGAGTCCTTATTCATTGTAGTTCTTCCACGTGGTTAAGAAACTTTCCACTCAAGTCACTGGGAAATTGCGTCAGTAATTATTTTGGTTGGGAGCCAAAGTAGTGTCCCGAACTAGGGCTAGGGAGGTCTGGATTCAAATACCAAGTCTGTCATGAAGTTCATTGGGTAGCCTTGGGCCAGTCATCACCAGCTGGTTTCACTTACCTCACAGGGTTGCTGGGAGGGTAGGACAGGCAAAAATCAAAACAAAATGGCGGGAGTGTGTGGGTTACGATAGCTCTCATTTTGAAGCCATAATTATGATTGCAATTCTGGCAACTTGGAAGCATTCTCTTAAGTCTATATAAAAAAAGAAAAGGTCAACAGGCCCAATGGACCAAGCCTTCTGTATGCGGGCTGGTACCTTGTGAAAAGCTAATGTACTAACTTTCTTTTTGGTATTGGAAGGATTCTGTATGGACGGATGAGAAACAAAACTGGAAGCAAAACACAGGGGAAGTCAGCCGCTGGGACACGCATGGCTATTGTTTTGAGATTCCTTGCTGGCTCGCTGCCTGAAGAGATTAGGATGTTCCTGGATCTGCTATTTGAGCCTGTGAAGCACTTTGGCAATGGTATGGCTTGTACACGAGAAACTTTTTATCTAATGGCGAACATGGCTAGTAAGATCCCAACAGGATTGAAGCTAGGAAGGGCCCAATAGTAAAGGAGTACGCTAGGTGACAATACACGCCAATATTTTGTTGCTTCTTCGTAGCTTATAGCCTGTAAAATAACTGTAAAATAAAGTGTTTCGTTGCATGTCTAACTTGCTTCAGTGTTAAAACCATGTATCTGGGCATCATGCGTGATAATGAAGCAGCTTTGAGAGTTGGCTTGAGACTTTTAAGGAGAAATGGATTGCTGATTCTAACTGGAAAATTAGGGGGGAAATTGGGAGATGATTCCTCGGGCAGCTGATTTATTTGCAATATTTGTTTTGGGTGGTTCTTGATAATATTTTAATCCGCTTCAAATCTGTGCAATGGGATGAGTTCCCTTTGCTCCGTCTCAGCTTCTGCCAACCTAGGAGTTCAAAAGCACACTAGTACAAGTAGATAAATAGGTACTGCTGCGGTGAGAAGGTAAACGGCGTTTCCGTGCGCTCTGGTTTTCATCACGGTGTTCCGTTGCACCAGAAGCAGTTTAGTCAAGCTGTCTGGGGACAAACACCAGGTCCCTGGGCCTGAAAGTGAGATGAGTGCTGCAACCCTATAGTCACCTTTGACTGGACTTAACTGTCCAAGGGCCCTTTACCTTTTACATATAGAGCCTGCATTGCATTGAACTGTGATCTCTTTTGTCTTAAGTATGTTTTTTTGCCACTGAACATTCTCCTTGTGACCCTATTTTTACATTTAGTAATAGTGGGGAACATTAGTTCTTCATCTTGTTTGTGAAAACCAAAGATCTCTTAAAGTGCAATACTCTAAATGCTTACTTGAGTGTAAGCAGCACTATGTTTAGTGGGATTTAGCTCCCAAGGGTAAAACACATCAATTAAGGGGTCATTCTAATTTTTGCCCTCTAACCATATACAGTGGTACCTCGGGTTAATTCGTTCCAGAGGTCCGTTCTTAACCTGAAACTGTTCTTAACCTGAGGTACCACTTTAGCTAATGGGGCCTCCTGCTGCTGCCACGCCGCCGGAACATGATTTCTGTTCTCATCCTGAAGCAAAGTTCTTAACCTGAAGCACTATTTCTGGGTTAGCGGAGTCTGTAACCTGAGGCGTATGTAACCTGAAGTGTATGTAACCTGAGGTACCACTGTATTGCTTCTGCTGCTTTTCAGGGGTTTTTTTAATAGAAAAAACACCTTCCCTAGAATTTGGTTCTTAAAATTGGGTGTATAGCATTGCAACAGAAGCCTAGGCATTATTGATTTGTTAATTTCTGTATCTTTAGGAGTGGGATATTCCATCTTGAAATGCACCTACCAAAACTGAACAGAGTACCTTCAATCTCTGTAGCGTTATTACCAAGGTGATACTATTGTTGCCGCCTCCCACCCACCCCACTTCTCCTTTTTGCTTTTGGTAGGAGATTGCCTCTCTGCAGTGCTCCAAGCAGTGGCAGAACTCGATTTATCTCGAGTCTTGCCTCTAGGTCGGCAGCATAGCCTTTTCAACAGCCTGGAAGTAGTACTGAAAAACATGGGGCATCTGATCAGCCAGTACCTGCCTGAGATTTTGCAGATTTTACTTTGCATGATGGCAACAGTATCCCACATTCTTCAGGAGCGGGAAAAGGTGAGAAATTTGCTCCTGTGTATGTGTTCTGTGTATGTGCTCCCATCTTTTGGTCCCAGCTCCTGCCCACCTAGCAGTTCGAAAGCACCCCCAAGTGCAAGTAGATAAATAGGTACCGCTTTATAGCGGGAAGGTAAACGGTGTTTCCGTGTGCTGCGCTGGTGTTGGCTCGCCAGAGCAGCTTCGTCACGCTGGCCACGTGACCTGGAAGTGTCTCCGGACAGCGCTGGCCCCCGGCCTCTTGAGTGAGATGGGCGCACAACCCTAGAGTCGGACACGACTGGCCTGTACGGGCAGGGGTACCTTTACCTTTACCTTATGTTTTCTGTTCTGTTTCTGATGAGAAGCCCATGGGGCATGACAGAGCAAGGCATGTTGCTTATTTTAGGACCAAGGAGAGTTCCTCATGAACAATTTTCTCTGACCACGCTTAGTCTTTTATGCTTTGACATCCACTGGCATTAATGCAGATTTTAACCAATTAATTGTGTACCTTAAAATTCTATCAATTGTTATTAATTCTGACATAAATACTAGTTAAGAGTAATAAATAATCTGCATATAAAGCTAATTTCAATTCCACTTGCTCGTAAATGAAACCATAAATCGCCCTATTCTGTTCCAGTTGCCCATACCGGTGGTTCCAAATATAAATCAAATATTCATGAGAGAGAGGGCAATCCTGTCTTTTACCTCCCTCCAAACTAAAAGGATATGAAAGGATTTCATTTGTCCTTACATGCAATTGAGGAGAGAGGTATAAAATTCCAGTTCTCCTTCACTGCTCCTGCTGCTGCCGTGTTGTGTACAAAACAAGCCGGAGTCAGGCTTGTGTCATTTGAAGCTGGGCTTGTGGTTTGTAACCAAGGTTTATTTTGGGCTTAATACTTGTGGATTGTTTGGAGAGAAACATACCATGAGCCTGGGTTTGGCCCTGCAGTAAGCCAAACTCTGGTTTATTTCAGCCACTGCATGATAGCAGCAGGAGTGGGAAAGGATTACCATGGAAATTTTTGAGTAATGTGCGCCTGCATGTTGCTTTTCACATCAGACTGTAGTTTGGCTTAATGTGACTTGCAAGCTTGCCATTGCCTCTTAGCCAGGAAGTTCAAAAAGAGCAATACCCAGAAAAGTCACAGTGCAAGATCTGATGTACAATATTGCCCTCCATGGTCATGCAGACATTCAGACTGAGCACAAAGTAATCATTTTGACAGCAGTGTTGCTGAAGTTCATGGTAATTAGTTTTGCACATGAAGTTATTCACTAACTCTTGAGACGAAAAGCTGTAATTCAGTAACTCCAGGCTTCACAAATATTTTTTTCAGCGTTGCCATTTGTTAAACTTAATTTAACACTTCATTATCTAGTGAGGAAATAAATGCCAATTAAGAGCCTCATTTATATTCTACTGGGTCTTTTTCAAAACACATTAGTCATTTATTGCCTACTAATACTACTTTCTGTGTTAAATGTTAACTTTGTATAGTTATAAATGGAGGTGCAGGGTTACTATTTCCTACAGTTCTCAATTGGGGTAGATTTTTTTTCTTGTGGACACAGGGCTGGCTAACAAATTGCCACTTGAGGTTAAGATGCTTCCTCGCCATGCAGATCTCATATATAGAAACTAGCCAGGCTGGCTGTTGAATCTTACATTCGTACTGATGGTGGTCTCCACTTTCAGCACCTGCTGCTTGAGGCAGCTATCTCACACCGCCTAGCTTTCGGGCTGGCCCTAGGTGGGCTTGTCATCTCCAGTATGCTTGCTTTTCGCTCTCGTGCTTTGCGAACAGATCTCAATATCTTTATTTGCTGTGCAATATATCTATGGACTTTAAAAATGTATTGGGGTTTGTTTGTTTTTTTGCTATTATTTCTTTTGTGCTCTTACGTTATAAACCATTCTGTGATCTTTGGATTAAAGTTCTTTATATAAGTTTACATTAATATTCCAGAGACATGCAGCATTAGCGTAACTCGGACAGAGACAATGCAGACATATGGGTACTGCTTGCAGTTCAGAGGACACATTCAGTAACTAGTCTTTTAAATCTTAGGTGGTAAAGAATAACTGCCCTTTAAATGTTTTGCTTAAGAAGAAGAAGAAGAAGAAAGTCCCTCACAGGATTGTTATGATTTGTTTTGCAGATTCAACTCAAATTAATTAACCCAGTGAAAAATTTGAGGCGACTTGGACTTAAACTTATAGCAGACTTTTTCTCTGATTTCAAAACTTACAACTTTAGTGTGGAAGAGATTGATGCAGTTTTTCATGCAGTGGTTTGGCCCCAGGTAAGGGCAGCGTGAAGGTGGAGAGTTGCTTGCTTTTCTTTACTTAGGCACATGTCTCAAGTGTCCTCTAGCATCTTCCAAACTGCACAAATAACTTGCTTTCGAGTGAAAGTGGTATTTGGTTCGAAGCACAGAGGGCATGCTAGGAACAAAACATCTAATTTTATTAGAGTGGCTGGGGAAACCCAGCCAGATGGGTGGGGTATAAATAAATTATTATTATTATTATTATTATTATTAATCAGTGTATCTACTCAAACTACAGTCCAGAAGTATGTAAATTTAATCCAAGTACAATGTAAGCTGGGTTTGTCCTTTCATAAACAGCACGAGTTTTGTTGAATCTAAAGGCTTTTGCCTATATCATCTCCACAAAACTTGAATGTGACTTCATGTTTATAGCTGACAAATGTAAAGTTTCAATTTTGTTGGGTGAGATATACATGTTCCTAAGTTAATGCCACATCTTTGTTGGGAGAAAGTTTGTCACTGAGTGGCACCCGCCACTCCTCTCTCTCTCTTACCACACTGTGGCAGTGTGCATGCCACAACAGCTAGACCTACTGCCTGAGGTCCAAGGGAGTAGGAACAGATCTGCCATTCATGACAGGAGCCCTTTCATGCCACAACAGTCTTAAAGTCGTGGAAGCTGTCACCCATCTACACTGCAGTAAGAGGTCAAGCCTCACAAAGATAATGATACATAAAGCAAATATTGGATACTTCTTTTTAGATAAAACTAGAAAGAAGTCTCCTGTGAGCATGTGCTGGCTCACCTCTAAGTATGTAACAGGGAAAAATGATGGTTCCTTCAGACTATAACCTGCTTTCTTCTCTAGTCTACCTGTCTCAGGTACTTGGAGATGGTCCCTTTAATGCTAGACTGCCTTAGCTGTGGTGGGTGTAGAGACGCCATAATGGCAACATTTTTGGCTCCACTCATCATTACCAGTTTTGTTCTTGATGTCAGTGGAGGCAGAAATACCTGGCTTAGCTCTTAGTGTTGTGGTGAAAGGAAGATAAATGCAAATAGTAAATTGTTCCTTCAGAAGCAAATAGTGAGCATGCTAATGCTTCTTCTTTTGCAAACATCTCTACCAATTTAGCCTCAATATTTTGCCCCGATTTTATTTTCTCCTGTTTTGTTCCCTCAGATCCTCAGGTTGGCCTCTGAGAGCCAATATTCTCCTACTCTCTTGCTCAAAATCATTCACATATGGAGCAGAAGCCCCAGGTAAATTACTTTCTTCTTAATGAAACAATGGATCGTGGTATAACTTTACTGCTACTGTGTGTGTGTGTGTGTACCTATGTATATATATAAAAGAGCTGCACTTTTAATCTAAAGTTTATGTTGGTTGTTTATAGGGACCATATACACAGGTACAGTGATAAGCACACATCTTGTTTATTTAACACAATTTATATACTGGTTAATCAATGACGGTATCCTCTTGACATTTTCATTTTCAAGTTAGCATTAGGGCTGACTTGGAATGGGGCAAGGGGCATGTTCTCTGCAAATGTTTCAGGCAGGCCCTGAAATATGCACCTCCACCTGTTGTTGTTGTCCTCCTCCTCCTTTTGGCAATTTATGAGACTCTGAACATTGAAGAAGAAGAAAAAGGTTGGGAGTTGTAGGAACTTAAGAGATACATGACAAGGACAATTCAGGAGTTTCACCTGCTTTGGTTCCTACTGTGACCTTATGGGACATTCCTTCCAACTTGTGAAAGGGGCATCTCTACTCCCCACTCCCCAGCTTTAGTATTATGAACATAAGGAGAGCCTGCTGGATCCTTTTTCTGGATCACTGACTTAGGCCTTACCTGTTGGGAGCTTCATTCTAAGGCTGTCACTAGTCATTTTGCTACATCAGTATTTTCCTGCCTGTTTGTTGTCTTTCCCTCAGGTATTTCCCTTTGCTGGCCAAGCAGATGCCAGGACATCCAGAATATGATGTGTTATCCAATGTGTTTGCTCTGCTTTCGGCCAAAAGCTTGTGTGAGGCAACGGCTGGTGTTGTGATGGACGTGGCTGACAGTCTTCTAAACACTCCTGACTTGGAGCCCGATGACGATATTTGCAGCTTGACAGTGACAGAATGTGTCTTCCACGAAGTTGATGAAACGACAGAAGGTACGGGTGGTTAGGCGCCCGAATCTATTGCAAATGAATATTTTCGAAACTGGTTGTTCCATTTTGCTTGTGTGGTAGAATTAGAAACTGATTTGTGAAAGAAAATATTCTCAGAACCTACTAGATGGTGCATTGTAGTTATGCTCTGTAGACTTCTTATAGTTCCATTTTTACTGGTTTTTATTGCCTCCCTTAGAAGTACATGTATTAAAGGGTGAGATGGAAATTCATTTGTAAAAACTCATAATAAATAAATGGGTTGTTGGCAGGGCAGAGTGACTTTCATTGAGAGCTGCATTACCAACCTCTCTCATGGTGTGTCTCGTGTTTTTCCTCCCAATGTTCCCAGTATTGTTTCACACAGATTCTCACTGGATTCTCTACCCTACCCTCAAGACCAAGTACAGTGGTGCCTCGCAAGACGAAAAGAATCCGTTCCGCGATTCTCTTCGTCTAGCGGTTTTTTTGTCTTGCGAAGCAACCCTATTAGCGGATTAGCGCTATTAGCGGTTTAGCGGCTTAGCGGCTATTAAAGGCTTAGCGGCTTAGCTGCTAAAAGGCTATTAGCGGCTTAGCGGCTTAGAAAAAGGGGGGAGCGGGGGGGGAATCGCAAGACTTGCAAGACGTTTTCGTCTTGCGAAGCAAGCCCATAGGGAAAATCGTCTCGCGAAGCAACTCAAAAATGGAAAACCCTTTCGTCTAGTGGGTTTTCCGTCTTGCGGGGCACCACTGTATCACTTGTAATTGATTTCAGTTTGTAGTTTTGGCCTATAACAGTTGAAGAGCCCTCTTATACTAGTAATTTCATCTCCAAATTTAGCTTTCACTTCGTCCTTAGAGCAGAAGGTGCAATGGCACCCAGTGGCCATCGTACAGGTCAGTCTAGACTAAATGCTGGTTTTGTGACTTCCAGCGCAGTATTCTGTTCATAGGCCTGGCTATCAGAAAAGGAATGAACCAATTCTGCAGCTCACACCCGCAAGGTTCCTTTCCTCTGTTTCTTTCTTAAAGCATTTATATCCCACTTTTCAGTAATAAAATCACCAAAGTAACTTAACATCACTTAAAGCACTCAGATATAATAATAAAATAGCAGTAAAAGAGCAGGGCATAGGGACAGTTGAAAACAGCAGTAAAACCATAGAAAAGCATGGGGACATGAAAACTGTACTCACACACAAAAACCATCAGATTTGGTGCCAGGCAACCACATAAAGGAAGGGAGCTTTACAGCTGAGGTGTTGCAGCCACAGAGCTGGGTTTCCATTCAACAGGAGTTCTGATGAAAAGGGTCCCAGAGAAACAGAACCAACAGAAACTCCTAGCACTTGAGATAAAAGATGGGCCTTTATTAAAAGTGCTACATTGTGGTAAAGGACAGCGCACAAGTGTTTGTTCCCCCCCACCAGACACCTGTTTATATCCTGGCTTGAAGGATCTCTGTCAGTTTTCAGCTTGCTTGAGATAACAGATCTACTTCAAGAGCAACAACCAGCAAATATTATTGACTAGTGTGTTTTTGAGCAGCAAACATATACATTTCATGTTGGCTAAATAATTTAAATTAAAGCATCGTTCAGTAACTGGATAGCAAGTTCCTTTGTCTCCTAATTAATCCCTTTAGTAGCAACTTCTACTACATTCAGCAGTTTCCCAGGAAATGTGCTAGTTTCCAAATCAATATTTCCCACATTTAGCCATAATGATAGTATTTCTGGGAGCCGTATAATAATATCTGTTAACAAGCTGCATTTTTAGTTGTCAGACATTTTATTATGGCATATAGTTTATTGTTGGCTGATATAAACTCCTATTTCATCAGGTTAGCCAGGTCAGGAGGCCTTTTCATATAAAATATAATATGAAGATATGGCAAGCTTGCCCGTCTCTTTGATGTCGTTCCATCATCATGTGCAGGCTTGTGGAAATTGCTTCCACACACAAACACATCCCATCAGCAGGATCCCTCCATCCTTGGGAGAAGCTCCTGGGTGGGGGGAAGGGAGGGGAGGAAAGGGGACTTCCACCAGCCCTCTTTAGTGCACTAGAATCTCTGGATTCAACTCATTGCGTTTTTATTATTATTTCTGTTACCTGCTTTGGGTAGTATATGCAGAAAAGTGGGATATAAATTGAAATAACCCCAGAACAATTGTTATACTATTTGTGAGGAATTGGATGATATTCTTTAGTTTTTCTGCTTGGAGGACTTAACGTCTCTGAATGGTAAATAAACTCACTGTCTCCCTTGCAGATGTTCCCACCACAGGTGTGAAGCTGATTCTCCCCCATGTGCCTGCAATCCTTCAGTATCTCAGCAAAACTATGTTCAGTGTGGACAAGATGAAGAAGAAGAAGTACAGAGCACAAGTCAGCAAAGAACTAAACATCCTTTCAAAGTAAATAGTTCCTTGGTATTGCTAAGAGTACTGATTTATACAGGGTCCCTTAAATTTTTACTATATATGTATATATATATATGGGGGGGGAGGAGTAAATTTACATAGAGTGGTACCTCCGGTTACGAACGGGATCCGTTCCGGACGTCTGGCCGCATCCCGAGGAATTCACAATTGGAGGACTGCTTCTGTGCATGTGCGCGGTGTGGTTTAGTGCTTCTGCACATGCATGCATGGCGAAACCTGGAAAAATACTTCTGGGTTTGCAGCGTTTGCATCCTGAAGTTTATGTATCCAGAGGGATACGTAAGCGGAGGTATGAATGTACTCGCCACTCACATAAAACCACAAGGAGGTGCACAAAGTAAAATACCATAAAGCAGTATAAAAATAATCGTTAATAACGATGGGTTCCTTTTAAAACAGGAAATTAAACAACTGAATAGACTTGTGAACAAAAGATGTCTTCAAGAGAACCACCTGCAAGAGGCTGTCAGGAAGCTTGAGCTTTCAGGGTGGGGCTTTTTGTTGGGAGTTCACTCTGGAAGCTATTGTATGTATTTCAGGCATAGGAAGCTCTGAATCTAAGTTTCTTGGCTCCATGTCACTCATGCAGCCTCCTCCCTGCATGTCACCATAGCATATGCCTTATAAGTGATCAGACTGTTCTGACTGGATGTCTAGCCCAGTATTGTCCACTCTGATTGGCAGCACCTTGGACAGGAATCTTCTGATCCATTCTGTGCTGGGGATCACAAACTCTTAATTCATATATGTGTAGTTTACCTATACACTGATGGGTATACAATGTATACCTGTTCTTCGACTTGCAGTTGTCCATATTCATTTGTGTGAAGTCATGTGTGGACCAGAATTGTATTAATGCATTCATGTGCCCTTTTGTAAGTAGAACATCAGCAGCAGTTTACATTAACAGATGATTATATTATAGGCAATTGAATCGTGGTGTTGTGGTTATATCGGTGCAAGGCTAACCTCTTGCTTCTGTTGAATATAGAATTAGCAAGTTTATAAAGGACAAGAGTCAGAGCTCCATCCTGATTGGTCTCCTCCTCCCTTTCCTCCACCAGAGTAACATGGTGCAGGTAGGCTTTGTTATTTATGCCTGTGGGAAGTCACATTTTCTTTCAAATTTGCCTGTTTTCTGGTGAACTTCTAAACTATTTTTCCAGGTCGTCATGATCTGCTGCTAACATGTTTGGGTCACTGTTATTCAATGTGCTCTGCTGTGCCTTTGGGATTCCCTCCCCCCCCCCCCCAATCTCTCTCTCTCTCTATATATATATATATATATATATGAGAAACTATAATGGAGTGGTTTAAAAAAAAAAGTTTGAAAGTGGGAAGTCCCTGGTTCAGATTTCAGTTAACCTATGTTCTCGGTGCAAACCACTTCCCATGTTAAGATGTGAGGCTAATTTTCGGATGAGGAAGCTGTGGGACTCCTGATGTCGTTGGGCTCCAACTCCCATCAGCCCCAGCCAGTATGACCAGTGGTCAGGGATGATGGGAATTGTAGTATAGCAACATCTGGAGGGCTACAGGCTAGCCATCGCCGTTCTAAAACATAGTTTAGTATAAAACGAACAAACCAGGGTGAGTCTTGGGCTTGCACAGTTCCCTTTCCTTCTCTGTAGCCAGGAGGAGTTTAAAAGCTTCACTTTTGCTTAATCGTTATTTGTGGGGTGGTTTTCATTTAAACCAACAAACTGTAGTTAACAGTTTGATTGAAACAAGCCAAGTTGCAGTCATGGTCATGGTACATGCATTGATTAAGCAAAAGCAGCAAAATGAGCTTCTGAACTGCTCCTCTTGCCTATGGGGCAGGAAGAGAGGGGGAGTGGAAGCATGCAAGGACAAGGCTTGCTGTGTCTTGTTCAGGCTTACTGATAATTGTGCTATGCTGTGGTTTATATACAAGTATTTTGCACAGTGGAAATATGTAAGTTGTTTCTTGATTAATATACTTTTGACTAAGTCTCTCTTGACAACGCTGAACTGGATTGCATTATGTTATTTTTCAGTGTAAGTGAGGAATTGTGTCATGATTTATCTGTTTTTTTTCCAGGATACTGAGATTGACATCCTGGAAACAGTGCAAAATCTACTGAAGCATTGTTTGAATCCAGCAAGTTTCCTCAAACCACTGGCAAAATTGTTTTCTGTTGTTCAGAACAAATTGTCTCGTCAGACGCTGTGCATGGTTTTTGAGGTACTGAATACAGTAGTAGCACATTTATAGCATTTTTGTTAGCGATTGCTCAACACTATTTTGGTTGTGATGTGAACTTGATCCATAATGATTTCTCTGAGCATCCATTTCAAGCTATGGCCCTCTTGGGGATGTCATGGCGACCATTGAGGTCTTCCCAGTCCCAAATCCCTCTGCAGTCCCTTGAGAGGCTATCCAATCCCTTTCCCCTGACTGCTTCCTTTTTTCTTAGTGGTTGGGCAATGGACTTTCAAAATGGCCTCCTGAGCCTCCAGGAACTGTGGGAAATGTAGTGGATGGTGATGAGTTCTAAAACTCAAAATGTTATGAGTGGATAATGGAAGAGCTGGTTAGATTCTAGTCAAATAAATACAAAGTGTGGTACGCTGGAAAGAAAGAATGGGGCATCTGAATTTTGAATACTGTGGCCACTTCTGGTTGTCCTGTTTTTTAAAAAAGTGAAATGTAGAACTGGAGAATGTTCAGAGAAAAGCGCTGTAAATGTGACAGTAGATGATACATGTGTGAAATAATTCTAGGTTTGTTAAATTTGCCTTTTTATTATTTTTCCATTTTTTATAGACTTTATCAGATTTGGACAGCAATCTAAAATACATTACAGATACAGTTAAGGTATGTAATGTTTCACCTGATTTACTTCTAAGAAACTTTCTGTCATCGTTTTGATTTTATATCTTTATTAAACATCTTGCCCGTTGTAGCTGAATGCTTTTGATCCACGTCATCTTGATGATATCAATTTCGATATCCGCTTGTCAGCATTTCAAGACATCACTTCTCATATCAAGGCAATGAAAACAGTGGATGTCGACTACCTTATTCCAGTAATGCATAACTGTTTCTATACAATACAGGTGAGCCCATGCCAATATCTGTCCTTTATGGTAGAGCTCCTGGAAATGTATTCTCTATTTTTTTAAAAATATTTTGATCATTTGGGGAACTGAAAAATACACTTATCTGCATATCTTTCCCCTTACACCATCAATGAGATTAGAAATTCCTGCTTTATTATTTAGTAAAAAAAAAATTTAGAATATTCCTTTTGAACCAAAAAGGCACCTCAGGGGAAGTTATGCACGTTTGAAAAACAGCCATAAGCTATTTTAGGTGAGCATTAGAATTACCTTTTGGATGCTATATGAGGAAATATCTTCAGCAGCATGTATCTCAAGAGAGCTAAGAGAGTTAAGGAAGAACCAAAAGTAATTTTACATCTAAGATGGCAGCAGCTTTCAGAATCTCTGCTTGTTCCATTGCCTCTGCCTGATGCTCATCAAACCCTCCTAGTATCTTCCCCCCCCCCCCCCAGTGCCACAAATTGGCTTTTTCTGAGGGTCCCCAGGGGCTTAGGAAAATACATTTTTGACAGTATTAGGGGACAGCATAGGAAATCCCTGTTTGTGTGGCTGTGTTTTAAAAGATAGTAAGCATGTGGGTTATCGTTGCCGGCTCTAAAATGACAAAAAAAGTCTTTTACTTCACAGGAAAATATGATTGATTCATAGTGAGCTTCATAACAATCTTATGGTACTTTTTACATATGGCTTGCAGATATTAAAGCTTCCAGGTTTCCAGGTCTGTTGCTCCCAACTCAGCTGCTCTGAGTTGTTGTCGGGGGAGCTGGTTTATATTTTATCAATGATTATATTCATGCGTATTTGATTCTTTTTTAATCTACGGTTTCAGGGTTATCTCTTGTAATCTCACCTGCCATAATCTTTTTCTTTCTTTAGTTAGGAGAGATGTCTCTAAGTGACAGTGCCATCCTCTGTCTGAATGCTATTATCAACCTGTTTGCTGAAATCAGTCATGCAGAAGATGAATACAAGGAAATCATTCAGCACACTCTTCTAGAAGCTTTGAGAAAAGGGCTAAAGAACAAGACTGAGGTAAAAAGCTGGTTATTATTTTTAATTATATACTGTTTAATGCCAAAATAGGCTTCTTGGTGATTTATAGAATATAAAACCCAGTTATATAACACGATTGAAGTATTCCATAATTCCATTTCCCATGAAACAACCCCATTAAAATGCAACAATTAAAACAAGAAACTCTGGTCAAGAGATCAAGGGAATGCCTGCGTGGACAGGTGCATCTTCAACACATGCTGGGATGCCTCTCATATTTCAGCAGAGAGTGCGTTCCATTGGTGAAAAAGCCCACCTCCGCATCACCACAAGCCGGTAATCATCAAGCCGACTGTTGTCTGACTGCTGTTACATTTCAGGAGGAAACGTTACTGTGAAAGAGAATTGTACAAGTGATGCCCTATTCTAGTATTTTGAAATGAGACAGGGCCGTGGGCAGGCTTCTCATTGAACAAAACACCCAGTGTGGCTAATGATAAGATGCAAATATTTTAAAAAGCATAAACAAAATGCTTCTGTATTGTTCCTATTACCTTACCTACCTACCTACCTACCTTCCTTAGCATGTTTACTCCAGCCCAACATGTTGACGAGTCCAAAATATGGCAGATAAGCTAAATTCTAGGGGAGGGGTTGATACAATGGTGTGGAGAGGATGTGGGGCAACGTGAAGGATGTGGGGCCACGTGAGATGTCTTGCCACGTGCTACCACCACACTTCCCTGACATGTTCATTCAAATAACAGCAGGAGTAGTTCAGGTACCAATGTAAATATGTAGAGCCCCTGATGTAAACAAAAATCTATTTAGGAATGTTTAATATGTGTGGATGTCAGTCTGGTCCCAAAGGGAGAAAGTTTCAAAAGCATAATTCTGGTTTTTGTGTGTGTTCTTGCATGGGTGTTCTTGCTCAGTGTGTTTCTAACAAAGAAATACAGTGGTGCCCCGCAAGACGAATGCCTCAGAAGACGAAAAACCCGCAAGACGAAAGGGTTTTCCGTCGCGGAGGCGCTTCGCAAGACGAAGTTCCCTATGGGCTTGCTTCGCAAGACAAAAACGTCTTGCGAGTCTCGCCATTCCCCCCCCCCCGCTTTTTTCCTCCTTATTCAAAGCCGCTAAGCCGTTAATAGCCTTTTAACAGCTTAGCCGCTAAGCCGCTAATAGCGCTAAATCGCTAATAGCGCTAATCCGCTTAGCCGCTAATGGGGTTGCTTCGCAAGACGAAAAAACCGCTAGACGAAGAGAATCGCGGAACGGATTCTTTTCGTCTTGCGAGGCACCACTGTAATCAAATGGCTGCATTAAAAAAACACCAAGCCACACATTTTCACATTTCCCTTGGTATTTTGTTACTTGCTGCTTTCAGAGCATTCAGCAGGATTACACATCGTTGCTCTCCAGCTTGATTCGAGCATTTTCAAACCACCCAGAGTTTCAGGACTTGGTCCAGTTGACTGACGTCCATGATCCAGAGATGGACTTCTTTGAAAATATGAAGCATATTCAGGTATAATGCAATCCTGTTCTTTCCACTGGACAATAGTTGTATGATAGTGGAAAGATGGTAGATACTTCATCTTCTTCTGTGAATGTAAATCTTTGCAAGTGCAGCCTCGTTTTTCAGTCGCAAATCATTGATCGTTGTGAGAACAATAGCTCTCTGCGTGTGTGTTTTGATTTAATAGCTATAATGTCATTTACACTATTTTAGCACATGCTAAGCTTTGCTGTTAATGTCACATTTAAAAGGCAGCAGCTAGAATTTTATGCATTTAATCAGAATGTATTTTCTCTTATTCAGTATCTCAGTTTGAGAAATAGACAGAAGTGTGTTGTAGTAAGATGCTCATCCAAAAAGGTGTCGTTTCTCCCCCTCCCGGCTGTTAAGAGCTGGTGAAACTTTTGATAGATTATGACACCCAAACCTCCAAGTCTACTGAATTAAATATGGGCCCTCACTCAGTGAAAACTTTTGTATCTCTCTTAGATCCACAGAAGGGCACGCGCCTTGAAGAAATTGGCTAAGCAACTAGCTGAAGGCAAAATCACACTCTGTTCCAAATCTCTTCAGAATTACATTATGCCTTATGCAACTACTACTGTCTTTGATGAGAAAATGCTTAAGGTAAACTTTTAGCATACAATGGTGGGAGCTACTTTTATTTCATAGCCCTTAGTGGCATATTTCTGTAAGTGCAACAGGATGATTTCCCTTTTCATGAGGAGAAAATAAAGAGTGTTGGGATTTGGGCTGAGATTTTTAAAAATGAAGTACCTCCCCTGCATGGTACTTATTTGAAATATTTGTTAAGGATCTTATTTCAAGCTGCCCTTTTAAAGAAGGAACAGTGCATTAATAGTGCATTTCTGGGAACTAAACTTTGCAGAGTTCTTCTTTGTCTGATATCTTCATCATTTAGTTATTTATACATTTATTTATTTATTTATTTATTCGTTCATTCATTCATTCATATTCTGCTGTTCCCCCCAATAAATCAGTGAGGGAGGCCTACATATTTCTCTGTACCCCTTCTCCTCATTTGGAAGAATTGCATTCATACAGCAACCCTGTGAAGTAGCTTAGGCTGAAAAGAATGTGACTTCCTCAAGGGCACCTGGTGAGCTTTATGGCTGAGTGAGGACCTGAACCAAAAGCTCACTACTTTTGGTCAAACGCTACCAGGGACAGATAATTGGTGCCTCAAGATGTTGCTGTACTACAACTTCCATCAACCTGACCATTGGTCATGCTGGCTAGGGCTGATGGGAGTTGTAGTCTCAACATTTGAAGGACACCTCAACGGCTATCACTGCTCTAACCACTACACCACACACCTCACAACTTCTGAATTTAATAATGAGGGGGAAAGCTCCAGATAGATCTCTGAATATTGCAAAGCATGTTGCTTCTTTTGGGTATTTTGATGTGAAAGTGTTGGGATAGGTTTTCTTCTTGGTTCAACAATGTCACTTTCGCCATGATTTTAAAGGGAGTGTTGGGGATGTGGAAGGAAGCTTCTTCTAGCCTGCATGGGCTTCGTTAGTCTAGGCAAGGCTTTTGTGCTGCTTGAAATTGGGAAGACCCTAAGGGTTGTTTTCTGTTCCTCAGTATGAAAATATGATAACTGCTTCGGTTGAAATGGTAGGAGCTGTTTGCAGGCATCTTTCTTGGTCAGCGTACCTCTACCACTTGAAACATTTCATACACGTCTTGCAGACTGGACAGATCAATCAAAAACTGGGCGTCAGGTACTGTAAATGTCGGTTTTAAGGTTTATCCTGTAATCCTGTGTGCACTTACCAAACAGCATAGTGGGCCTTGCTTCTGAACAACCTTGCAGGGGTTTGCAATGCCAGTCACTCCATACTGATAGCATTAATAAGGAAATCGACACACAAGGATAGTATCTCTGTGGACTGTTTAAGAGCTGTCGTTTTAACCGAGCTGATGACTGTGTTAATGGGAGCATTGAGCCTCTGCGTGAAAAGAGAGCTTTATGTTCCAAGCACTTTTAATTCACTTTGGCCAGATATCAAAGAACTACTTTAGGAATGCTCTTGTCCAAAGAGATTTTTGCTTGCGTTCTTTGAACGCTAGATTCCACTCCTCCCCCAGTGCTATACTGCACTTTGCTTTTTGAGTGTACCCTCTGTTTTAAAGATTTGCCATGCAGCCTGGGGGGGGGGGAACCTGTTCAAGAAACTCAAGCCCAGTGCCCCCATAAGTATTCACTTGAGCAGTTCTTTTAGTCCAGTCCTTTTACAAATAGAAAAGCTGTACGTTTTTGGGGATTTTAGCACCTTTTATTTCTCTCCCTGCCCCTTAATGTGTTTGACAGTGTGCTAGTTATGGTGCTGGAGGCTTTTCACTTTGACTACGAAACTCTTGAAAAGCAGCTTGAGATGATTCAAAAGGAAGGTAAGGTTCTGATTCCTGCATCTGGTGGAGTGGGCTCCAACTCCTGTAAGGTTATGCTTCTCACGATAAAGTTGGTAGGCTTTAAAGTGCTGTGACTTTTTGCTACAACCTGTTAACGCTGCACCCTCTTTAGCATCTAATGCATTGTAACTCTGATCGCTGCTCACCTAGACGGCTATGTTCTACCGCCAGCGCTGGAGGCCGTAATACTTCTGAAGGCCAGTTGCTGGAGACTGGGGGAAGAAAGGGTGCTGCTGTGCTCAACGTCCTGCTTGCGCACTTCTTATTGGCATCTGGTCAGCCACTGTGAGAACAGGCTGCTGGACCAGATGGGCCACTGGACTGATTCAGCAGACTGTTCTTCTGTTCTGATATAATAATAAATAAATTTGCATGACCATTATTACTCTTCGAATGCAAAACACAGGGCCTGTTGTTTCATTATGCATTTTAAAATCTCTGCTTTCTATTTAAAAAAAGCTAATTATTGGGTTTCTAGTTCAGAATATCTACATAATGCCCCAGTCTTAAACCTATGTGGAGTTATAAATAAAGCAGGGTCAGGCCTACTTATTTCCCATCTCTGCTCTGTACTAATAAGGAATCCTTCTCTGAGTGTGAATCATATTCACGAGGCACAGAATTCTGGCTAACAGTTGGGGAGAGTGGGAATGGAATGGGGAATCCTGGAAGAGGGGGTGTGGCCTGCTAAAATCTTAAACAGGAGCGCTCTAGATTTTGTCCGTCTTGTTCCAACAAAGGACTTGGTCGGCAAGCATCAAAGCCTTTTCCCCTCTTGATTATGCCTAGCAGATGCAGAAGCCATGGACACTGAAATGGAAGTGGAGAATGAAACAATGGAAGTGGAACTTAGTGATGGAGAAGAAGACCAAGAAACCACCAAGGACCTTTCTAAAGATGCCAGTGAACAAACAGAGCCTGTTTCATCTTTGTCTGCTCCAGCCACTAATGAAGAAGACAAAAAAACCCAGATCGCTCTGAAACCAATTTCCTTCCTGCCTAAGGATAAGGAAGAGTTGAAATGCTTGATAAATCATATACAAGAAACAGTACAGGGAAACATCTTGCCCAAATTGCACAAATGTCTCATTGCAAAGGTACATTTCTGAGTCTTCGGGGTTTATTTTTAAATAGTCTTTAGTACATCTTGATTCTGGGAGCTAAACTAGATGAATTGTCATTCAGCAAAATAGCAAGTGGCTTTTAAATTGTGTGAATGGTCCCCACGTGGGTGACCAGTCCGGGTTAGGACTGAGGTGGGCGGCATTAACATTTTGTCCCCTCCACCTCCTATTAGCATTAAAAGAAAAGCTCCCATTTATGCCAGTTGTGGCCCTTGGAACCAAAGAGATGCTCTGAATACCCCTTTAAGTATACCAAATGAACCTCACTTTCTCCTCATAACAACCTTGTGAGGTAGGCTAGACAGAGTTTCGGCTCCAGTGTTGTATTCTCTCCGGGTGTAGATGTAAGATCACTGTCTTTAACACCTGGCAGTTGGAAATGCTATTGAGTAACTTTGGAGATGCCGGGACGCGGGTGGTGCTGTGGGTTAAACCACATAGCCTAGGACTTGCTGATCGGAAGCTCGGCAGTTCGAATCCCCGCAGCAGGGTGAGCTCCCGTTGCTCGGTCCCTGCTCCTGCCAACCTAGCAGTTCGAAAGCACGTCAAAGTGCAAGTAGATAAATAGGTACCGTTCCGGTGGGAGGGTAAACGGCGTTTCCGTGCGCTGCTCTGGTTCGCCAGAAGCGGCTTAGTCATGCTGGCCACATAACCCAGAAGCTGTACGCCGGCCAATAAAGCGAGATGAGCGCCGCAACCCCAGAGTCAGCCACGACTGGACCTAATGGTCGGGGGTCCCTTTACCGTTACCTTTAACTTTGGAGATGATGTGTTTCTGTGCCCTGCAGGTCAAAAGAGATGAAGAGCACAAGCTTGTGAAATCTAAGGTTGTGAATGATGAAGAAGTTGTTCGGGTTCCACTTGCTTTTGCGATGGTCAAGCTGATGCAGACTCTTCCCCAAGATGTCATGGAAGAGAATTTGCCAAGGTATGTACAGTCTTTTCAAGTGCATATTAACATCCATATGGTGAAAATCACCTAGGGATATATATAGACCTATAGATAGCGCATATGGAGGGGGTATGCATACTTGCATATATAGGATAAATATTGTACAAGCCTGTTGGAGTGATAATTGAAGCTTGTGTTTGGTTCTCTTCTGTTTTGCTGCTTTGTTGGCTCCAGCATCCTCCTGAAAGTCTGCTCCCTTCTGAGGAACAGAGCCCAGGAAATACGGGATATTGCACGCAACACCCTGATGAAAATAATGGAGGCTTTGGGGGCACAGTATCTGCAATATGTCTTAAAAGAGATGCAGTCAACCCTCGTCCATGGTTACCAGGTATAGTGCCGGCTTTCTTTTTCTTCCACCTTCCTATTAGATAGGAGGAGGAGGCGCTTATGGGCAGAGGACACTATAGCTCCTTAGCCCTGCTCCTTGAACTCACAATCTGCAGTGGGCTCTCTTGCCTAATTGATAGCAACACCAGGCAAGCAGAAAGCAGAATCAGTTGAGAAGTTGGGTCCAAGCTCAGGCAGTTGGAAGAAATGCTGGATTGTATCTAAGATTAATTTAGTAGGTAACAGTTGCAGGTGGGGACTGCTGAAAGCACTATAGCAATCTTCTAAATACCATTCCAGTTGTGTACATGTGTCATTCTTTTATTAGTTATCCTTTTAATTAACAAACACAGAGTCACTTGATTTCTTTTGCTCATGCAGGTCCACGTGTTGACTTTCACAGTCCACCTCTTGCTGAAGAGCCTCGCCAGCAATCGACTTCAAGTGGGAGACTTGGATCCCTGCGTAGAACTTATGACCGAAGTAAGTTCTTTGAAAGCGACGCTTGCTGCATGCGGAAAACGCCAAGTGTAAAAGGAGCTCATTTCAGAGATGTCACCTCAATCAGGAACTTACAGCTCCTGTTCCTGTAATGCCTGGATGGAGAGAGGGTGGTGGGTGGTTGGGTGATACCAAACCGTTGCCTTCATGAAGGAGCCCAAGTAATACTAGGTCCTCTTCCTTCTTGACTAGTTGCACATTTTATCAGATCTTTTGTTTCTTAAAGGGAACACTCTTATGCTTAGTCAGATCATGGGTATATCAGCTCAATATTGTCTGCACTGACTGGCAGCATCTCCCCAAGGTTTCAACCAGGGAACTCTCCTAGCCCTATCTGTCAATGCTGTGGGTTGGACCTGAGACCTTCTGGGTGCAAAGCGGATGCTGTAGGAACTGAGCTCATCCCTCGCCCCTAAAGATGAACGTGTTGGACCTTTCATTGTTCATGTCTGAAAAAGGTGGATGCAGAATTATAACTGCTGCTCTACTGCTTCTTACTCCTAACACTTTCCTCCATGTCTTCTGAAAAGATTTTCAACCACGAACTGTTTGGGGAAGTTGCAGAGGAAAAAGAGGTGAAAGGCATAGTTTCCAAAGTTATGGAGGCTCGCAGAAGCAAGAGCTATGATTCTTATGAAATCCTTGGCAAGTACATAGGGAAAGACCAAGTGACGAAGCTCATTCTTCCATTGAAAGAGGTAAGGTATATTTTCTCTCTCCGAAAGAGTAATTTGGCAGTGGCATGATAAACTAGTAAAATATGGAAGAATAACGGGAGGACAGACTGTGACACAATAAAGCATTTTTATGGGATCATGCTACCGCTATAGAAACAGATGTGTTATTTTAGCATGGTATATAGCAGTGTTTCCCAACCTTTTTTGGGCAAAGGCACACTTGTTTGATGAAAAAAATATCGAGGCACACCACCATTACAGCCCCGTGACGTCAGCGCACAGCGTCATGCCGGGAGGGACGCACGAAAGTGTAACTTTCAATTTTTTTCCCTCCCCCTTGCCGGGGAACCTCCAAGCTTTGGGGGTGGGGGGGGAGGAGGCAGCAAAGCGAGGGACTGAGGGACCCTAACCCTAACCCTCACCGATCACCCGGGAAAGCATGCGAACGAGGAGCCCCCGTGTCCTGCTCCCGGCAGCGGACGGCACAAAGCGAGGAGGCCTGGACAAGGCAGCACGCTCCCCGCTCTCGCTGCATCGGGGCTTTTCTCCTCCAGGCCGCTTTCGAAGTCCCCTTCTCCGCTCCCAAGAGCCGGAGCCGCTGCTTCCAGGCCCTGTCCGAGCCCCGACTTGTGGCCTCACTTCGAGGAGCGCCTGTTGCTGGGGACGGGGCTGCATCCCCCTCAGCCACCGCCTCGCTTCCTTCCAGGAGACCCGACGGCTCCCCCTCTCCCGCTCGCCCTCCTGCGCCCGCAGCAGACCGAGACCTCCCCGCCCCTGCCCGGCTTGGCCCTACCTGGGCGCCTCCAAGCCCGGCCGGCTCCGCGTCGCGCTCCACGCCGGGCAGCTGCAGCAGGGGCTGCGCGGGGGCGCGCGGCGGCCCGGCTGAGCGCGCCCCGGAGCCGCCGCGCCGTCGCTCGCGAGTCCCTCCGAGAGCCCGCGGGACTGACTCCGGAGTCGCGAGGCGGCGTGTCGCCCAGGGAAGGGGCAGCTTCCCACAAGCACGACGACCGAAAAGAGCCCAGCAGAGCGCGCGCCCCGGAGGACTTGGGGGGGGGTCTGTAGGGCATCAGTGGCCCCCAGAATTCTGCCCGCCCCTCGCCCCATTTGATCCAGATTTACCCTCTGGGGAGAGCGAGCCCCGGCCCAGCAGGGGGCGCCCCCGCTCCGTCCTCCGGGAAGCAAACGCCCTCGCCCGCCTCCCTCCAGGCAACATCTCGCGGCACACCAGGCAACATCTCGCGGCACACTAGTGTGCCGCGGAACACCGGTTGGGAAACACTGGTATATAGACTTTGCAAACATAATGATGTGTCTTTCCGAAATCAACAGCATATGGCCTAAGAAGGCTCTGTAACACCAGGGTTTCCATTTTAAGGTGGCTTTTCTAATGTCTACTTGCAGGTTTTAGAGAATACTACAAGCCTAAAGATGTCTCGGAAGGTACATGAAACTTTACGCCGCATCGTGTCTGGATTGATAATGAACACAGCAATGAGTGCAGAAACCATCCTTCTACTCAGCCATGGACTGATTAGTGAAAATCTACCACTGTTAACAGAGAAAGCAAAGTGAGTTTGTAGAAAGTTAATTCAAATCCAGTTGTCTTTTCGTCTGCTTGCTAGGATGATCAAATTGGCCACTTCTGAAAATGTGTTTACTCACAGAAGTAAGTTGGGCTCATTTTTCAGGATTGCTCCTCTGTCGCAAAGACTGCCACTTGCAAGCCATATGTTGCGAAGTAGTGTCATTAAAGTCCCAGGCTTGCCTTGATTTTCAGTCACTCATGAAGTTTCGATTCAATGTAGTTTTGAACCAATGGATCCAAGTTGCAAGAAAGGAGATTCTTTGCAGGAGGTTGAACTATAGAGTCTCTTGAAACTCTACAATTCTAAGATTCTCTTCTTTGCTCATTGTGATGTCTGTCCTCTGCCCAGATGAATTAAGGCCTTAATTCTAGCTGAAAAGTTTTGTTTTCAGAACCAAAGCTCCTGCTCCTCCAGATCCTCGTTTGCAACCAAAGAGCTGCCTCTTGCTTCCACCAGCTCCAGTTCGAGGAGGGCAGAAGGCACCTGTGAGCAGCAAGACAAACATGCACATTCTGGTTGAATCGGGGCTACGGGTATGTAAGAGGGGCCCTGTGTGCTTAAAAATGAAATCAAAACATATTTCTTTATGCTTCAGTGCAGGAATATTTTGGGGGGGAAACATAGCTGTGCTCTAGTCAATTTAATACTTCTTGTTTCCTTCATCTGATTGGGGCAGGGAGTATAGAATATACTCCCCTGACCACTCTAGCCAGGCCCAACATCACTCATAAGCGATGGCAGTAATGCTCATCTTCCCCTCACCTCCAGCTTGTAAAAAGTTTGAGGCAGTGGATCAATTCAGACATAATGTTCCTTTTTGTCCAAGCTGTGGTTGGGAGGATTAGGATGCTTTTTGTTGTGCTCACATGTTTCTTCCAACCCTTGCACGTTCTAACTTCATTATTATCAGTTTAGTGACAAACCACACTTCACCATTACATCGAAACTGGGTAAACTATAGCTTGCAAAAACTTTAGTTTGCCAGTGCAGGTGTTTGCCTGTTAAACAGGAAGCGAGAGGAACACAGGGCACAGAGGAAGGTTGGGGAGAGGAGTGAGGATAAATGCACTGGCTTATTTCATGTTGTAGGAAAATGTGGTTATGGAGATGTACTGCTTTATAGCGCACTTTTCCCATTGGGACTGTAGGGAGATTTTCTTAGGCATGGAGGCATGAATGAGCAGCATAGAGTTGACATTGAGGGGTGGTGAGAACCCTCCATCCATTTACCCTGTGCCTCTGATCCTTCATGTGTTTCTCAGGTCTTAATTTAAAAGCTGTATTTCTATGATATCACTGAAATTGCATAGCATGTCAGTTATCTTCTGAAGCCTTTGGCTGCTAACAACCCGAGGTTGCCCTTGATATATGCTGCAAGCTGCCCAGAGGGGCTGGGAAAACCCAGTTAGATGGGTTTGTTTATTATTATTATTATTATTATTATTATTATTATTATTATTATTAGTCTTCTTTTAAACAATTTGGTTTTCCAGATCTATTACCCTTTTTAATTTATGCATTTAATTCCAAGCACTTATTTCCTATCACAGCTACTGCACATGAGTCTGAAGAGGTCCAAAATAAATTCCTCAGATGATCACACTTTAGAAATGTTGGATCCTTTCGTTCAGCTGCTTGTCGACTGCCTTCAGTCCACAGATGTTAAGGTAGGATTCTGAACTCAGTGCAATAGCTCTAACCTACAATGTTGGCAGATGGCAAAGTTCAGCCTGGGCCAAAATTCTTCATTCTGTCACTAAGATCAATAAAGGAACTGGAGGAAATTCTAACTTTCAAATACTGATTACTTAGAATCCAGTCAAGATCATTGAGACTTATTTTCCTGGTTTCTTAACTGACATCAAACCATGTTTCTACAGTGCAGGTGTAATAGGAAACTCTGGTTTAATACAAACCAGAGTTCCCTATTACACCTGCACTGCAGAAATATCGTTTAATGTAAACCAGAGTCTTTGCACCAAAGCAGAAGCATAATAGGAGGTGGGTGAAGGAGTTGCACTTGACATTGACACTTGCTCCTGACTCTTGAAAGACTGTCCACATCAATGTGAATTTTCCACTCAAGTATGGATTATGCATTGGGAAAAGTGGCATCCCTCATGTGATCTAAAGGCTCAAGAATTCCAGTTTCAAGGGATTTGTGGCTGATACAAAACATTTCTATAGACCCACCTAGCTTTTTTTATTAATTCATTTGTTCTCTTTGCAGGTGATCACTGGCTCTCTCCAGTCCCTTCTGTGGGTCTTAAAGTTCCCGTTGCCTGCAGTAGACAAGAATATAGAGCAGCTAATCGAGCGGCTTTTCGTTCTGCTGAAAGACTTTGCCAAGCCAGGAGCTGCTAAAGGCCAGAATTTTCATTTGGTTGTAAATTGTTTCAAAGTAAGTTATAACTGGTAGAACAGCTCAGTGTTGATCTTGCAGGGTGCTTTTTTCCCAGACTCATGTGCCTGTGTGACATGGATGATTGGTGTGATAGAAAAGGGACTTCAGACACCTTTAGATCTGCAAATCGTTTTGAAAAAATTGTGTTCACAGAATTTTTTTTATTAAAAAAGCTTTTATCTATGCAGTGATTCTCAGAAGCTGCATTAGAATTAGAATATCCAAGGGGACCATAGGTGGAGACGATCCATTCTCTGTAATGGTCTGACCCACACATTGTGTAGAAGTTCCATTGCTATGCGGATTCTGAGATTTCAAAATCACACTGCACAGACACTTATCCTTGGTAACAAAATGAGACGGCCATGTAGCATTTTGTCACCACCCATATTTTCAGTAAAAACAAAGGTTTACAAAACTTGCAGATCACTTAATTCTAAGGTCCAAAAGTAGTTTAATTGCATCATGCCATTGTAAAACAATCAGGTAAAACCATGTCGGTAAAACAAGTACATTGATGCAATAAATAAAAGTTTGTGGTGAAATGGTTAAAAAGTCTAACATTCCCTCCCCCATAAAGTGGTTCTCACCAATCTGACCTCTAAGTAGGGGAACAGTGAGCCCAGAGCCTTGTCTACAGATTTTACAGCACAGCCCTATGAGGTTCCATTGTTTTTTAATGGGGCTTATTCCCTAGTAAATGTTTTTGATTGCAGCCCGAATGGGTAGGGAGGTGATGATCACACAACACCTGTAGAGAGTGCCCTACAAACTCTCAGGGGACTCTGAATCTGGTAGAACATTCTGTAATGGTCATGTTCATAAGGCTAAATTTTAATTACAGTGTGTAACTCTGCTTGTGAGGAATGCAAAGAGTCACATAACAGAGAAACAACTACAAGTGTTGCTTGGATATGCTGAAGAAGATATCTACGATTCGTTACGACAGGCCACTGCCTTTGGCCTCTTAAAGGTATCGATTGCACTGTAACAAGTTGTCTTTTAAGAATCATTTGTTGAAATGGAAGTCTCGAATCTTTTTCCGAGTGTATAAAGCTGGTAGTTTTGTTTTGGGCAAAATTGTTTTGGGCAGATGTGTAGAAAGCTGATCAAAAACAATGAAAAAAACATGAGTTTCAAATTGTATTTAACACAATGCAGAACACAAGCATCACTCAGTCATACGTTTTTCTCTTTTCAAAAAGGCGATTGTATCCAGAAAACTGGTAGTTCCCGAAATTGAAGGTGTTATGCAGAAGGTTGCAAACTTCGCCATCACAGGGCAAAATGAGCAAGTTCGAATCCAGTGCAGACAGGTTTGTAGACATTAAAGCAGGGGGTGGGGGCATGCGTGCTCATGCCCTTTTATCATAGCAACTGTTTTTCGCCAGCTCCCATTTTATCAATTATTTTATAGCTGGATAGCTGGCAACTGCACAAATTTGGTATTTTTGAGTTTTAACCAATTGTTTTTTGTTTTCTCCCCCTCCCCCTCCCCCAGATTTACCTGAAATATATTCTTGATTATCCACTTGGTAAGAAGCTGAAAACCAACCTTGAGTACATCTTTGCCCAACTCAAGTAAGTGCACAGAGATTATTGTTTATTTGCTCAATAAAGGAAAAAAATAGCAACTACAAGGCTGGGCTTTCTCCTCTGGTCAGAATGGGGACCCTCAACACAGTGTTTGCAGTAATAGAGCCATGCAGGGCCAAGACATTAGGCTAAAACCTCAGTAGAGTATTGGAAGCAAATTATATCCTCTGTACACTGCACATGTTCACTCATTGGTTATGAAGTTTTGTTCTATGTTCCTGTTGACATTTTTTTTTCCTTTGTATATGAGCACAGGAAGCTGTGTTTTACCCGATTCAGACTCTTTACCTAGCTATGTGCTGTGTATTCTGACTGACAGTGACTCCCCAGGGTCTCAGGTGGAGATCTTTCACAAGAAAAGTTGTGATGGGGGAAGAAAGTGGTTTGTCACATATAACATCTCAGATTCCAGTGATGACCATCATATGTATTTAACTTCCTGTTCGCATTCAGCTATTAAAGAAAAGACACATGAACATTCTTCAAGGCCAGGTGTTTGCAAAAGCAAGGTGTAATATGAAAATATATGTTATGCTGTGTGCTTTTCTTAAATACCACTCCTAAGTCCCAAGAGATGCAAAGGAACTTAACTTCTGATTAAACATGTGTAGGATTGTGCTATTAGTGTGCCAAAAATCATTGCAAGTCTTGAGGACACTGACCATACTGTTCTGTTGTTGCCCTAGTTATGAATATGAGACAGGGAGAGAATCTGCTTTGGAAATGATTGCGTACCTCTTTGAAATGTTCCCCCAGGTAATGTATAACTGCATCAAAAACTTCCAACCTTTAGCGTATTTCAGCTTGAACCCTAGAAGATGGCATTTCATATAAGACATTAAGGTTGGATGGGAAGTATTCCCATTGAATTTGGCAGGATTTACTTTTGAGAAAACATGTATAGGATATGGGGCGCTGCTCACATACATTTTCCTGAGCGTGTTGCCTTTTCAGAGTATGCTGGCATTGCTGAGGACAAATACGGCCTGCATGGATTGAATTTCATGTTCGTTTTTCTTTCTTTGTCACATTTGTAACTGCCCTTCTTACGAAGGGTTTGAGGAAGCATACATGCTGCTCCTCCACTATCGCAACCACCCTGTGATGATGTAGATTAGGCTGAGGATTCAGGCCTGGATGGATGTACTTGGGAGATGCCTGAGCTTTGTGCCCATGTGGTCCACCCTCATATTGCCCCTCTCCTCTTTGCTGCACTGTGTTTCTGAGTCAAGGAACTGCCGTTTCCCAATTTGTCCAACTTGGGAAATGAAACAAGACCTAAAACCATGGTTTGAAGTTTCAGAGTTTGGAATTAGCAGGAAACTGCAATTAATCAACCCAGGAAGACTTCAGTCACAGGGCAGCAAAGGGGTGGAGCTCACGAACCCCAAGGCTTGTATATACCTTGACTTCAGAAGCTGAGGGACCCTGGAATGGCCACAGACTAGGCCAGAGGCACCCAATGAGCTTCATGGCTGAATGGGAATATTATTTGCAGTCTCCCTTCCCCCTCTCCCCACTTTCCCAACCTGCATTTAGTATTCATATAACCAATAACTGTACACTACCCTCAACACATGTCTAGACAAGCAGCTAGCCCTAGCACAGAACCAGGAGCAGGTCTGATTGCTTTGACAGGTTTACAGGGTGGTGTGGTGGTTGGATACCAGCATTTTTCATGTAGTCTAGAGATTGCCAACAAACAAGCTTACTGACTTCCCCTTTCTTCTTTTCTTCAGGGTTTACTGCACCAATTTTGTGGGCTTTTCTTTGTCCCACTATGTATGATGATTGTAAATGATGATTCGGCAAAGTGCAAAAAGATGTCAGCTCTGGCAGTCAAAGGTCTCCTCAGTAAGATTAGCCCTGGAAACCGAGACCTGATGTTTTCCCTGCTCACCTCGTGGTTCAAGAGTGACAAGGTACTGCTTACAGCAGTAGTTTGACTACTGTCCTGTAGAGAAGTTTTTGCTAGATGAATGAAAACGAGAGAATGTCAAGAGGTGAATCCTTTGGAGGAGAGATTGTGTTCCGCTAACCTTCCTTTGCTGGCGGAAGAATAGCACTGTAATTTATAGAGCCTTCATAACTGGGCCAATTTCTTGTGGGGTTCAAGAATTATGGCTGGCTGTGTGGTTGAGAAGGCAGTTGTGCCCACTATCTTGGGAAATCTCTTCTGCAGAGATCCTAACTCCCTTCCTTCCTTCCATCCACAAAAATCTCCACTAATATGATGCTGCTCCTTCCTGACAGCGTGTGCACAAGAGGCTAGCTGCTCATGCCTGTGGAACATTTGTTGAAGCTGAAGGAATCGAATTTGAAAAAAGGCTTGGGACCATTCTCCCAATTATCGAGAAAGAAATACATCCTTCAGATTTTAAAGATGTAAGTCATTAATTGGGGCTGTTCCTGGTAGGCTGCCAGTTTGTAGAGTGAAAGTAAATCTTCGGCCCCATAAGTATATTGATGGTCTCTCTATCCTTTCCCCACCTACCCAGTGGTGCAGTGAAATAAATTTTTAAGATTCTTTCAAATCATTTTTATAACTAAAACCATTATATGTGAAAAACCTATACATTTTCATATCCTGATTTTCATAACAAGATTGATATACCAATAAATGTTTCAACTTCAAAACAAGGAGAAAAAACATTAACACTTGAATAACAAGGTGTCTTTGCAGTATTTTACAAATTCATTTTATTTTGACTATTCCACCACTAGGTGGTATTCAAGATTTGCTTTGTAGTAGCTTTGGTTACACAAATAAAAAATAAAAATAGTTCCAACTCAGAGCAGGCCCATTGGAATTAATGGACCTAACTTAGTACTGCTTATTAATTTCACTGGGTCTGCTCTTAGTAAAACACAGTTGAATATCACAGTCTATTTCAATGTTGTAAAATTAGGCAGTTGACTGTTTGCAAAGTCAAAAAGAGCAAGTGTTGTTTGGTTGCATTTTATATTTAGCCACAATTATTTAAACTGAAACCTCTTCACTGTTCGTACACTGATGGCTTTTCAGAGTGTCATTCTTTCACTGTCCATTTTTGAAGGTTGCAGAAGAGACTGAAGAAAAGGCTGCCGACAGACTGCTGTTCAGCTTCCTAACTTTGATCAGCAAACTAATCAAGGAATGCAATATTATTGAACTAAATAAACACAATGAGATTCTGAGCAACATTTGGGGTTAGTAGTTCTGTCATATTATATTGCTCTTGAAACCTTTGGCACTTGATGGATCTGTAATGCCTAGGGCGCTACTCACATGAAGAAGAATGAGTTGTGTACAATGGCTTTTTAGTTTGTATTCCTAACTTCTGTTGTCTAACCTCTAGGTTACATTTCTGCAGTGCATTTTATGTAGGGCTGCCTCTGAAGGCAGTTCAGAAACATCAGCTGGTGCAGAATTTGACAGCCAGGTTGCTCACTGGGGCAAGACGGTTTGAGTATATCACACTGATCCTGGCCTGACTGCTCTGGCTGCCAATTAGTTTCCGGGCTCAATTCAGAGTGTGGATTTTGACCTATAAATCCTTAAACAGCTGAGAACAGCAGTACTTCAAGGACCACCGGCCCCCATATGAACAGACCGAGGCCCTTATTCATGAGAGGTCTGGAGAGTAGCAACACAGGAATGGGCCTTTTCTGCAGTGGCTCCTCATTTGTGGAACGCTCTCCCCCGGGAGGCTCACCTGGCACCTTCTTTAGACATCTCTAGGTGCCAGGCAAAAACATTCCTCTTCAACCAGGCCTTTGAAATGTGTTTGTGGGAGGGGAGGGGTATTAGTTTGGGTTTTTTGTATGTTGAACTGCCCTGAGATCTTGGGATGAAAGGCAATATACTGATTGATTGATTGATTGATTGATAGATTGATTGATTGATTGAATAATATTCCTCTGTGTATGACTAGGTACAGTTTAAGCCTATTTCTCTCTATTTCTGAAGGTCATGTGCAGTCTCATTTATGGTACCCTCACAGCTGGGTGTGGTCGACGTCTTCTCAGATTTTTGGCTTGCTGTTTGCTGCTCACAAGCCAGAGGAACTTGTTAACAAATGGAGTAAAAGAAAGCTGGAAAAGAGTCAAGAAAGTACTACAGAGCCACCGGCAACTACCTTCTTAACAGAAGAACTAGACAAAAAGGTTAACATTGCCCTCCTAAATTGCCTTTCTTGCATTGATACACATTTCAATTTCCCATTAGATGGCAGAAAGAAAAATGAACATTAGTTTCAATGTCATGATAGAGCTTCACATGATTGTGTCTCTTTTTGTCTCTTAATATTTATACTTCTTAGGGAGAGCAGCCCTTTCATGCTTCACTGTGTTTCAGAATGATTGTTAACTTTTCTTTACTTTTACAGATGAAAACACTTGCTTTAGCATTCTGCCATCAGTTGAAGTCCAAATTTTTAGATCCATGTCTTGGAGAACAGGTAACTATGTAAGGTTTTTGGTAGATTCTTCCCCCCCCCCCGCGCCATGTTTTGGGATACGCGTGTTGAAATAGCACACAATTCAAAGAGGCAGCTAAAGACATTCTGGTGCCTGGAGCATAAAATCAAATTGTTTTGGAACAAATTGAGAGAGTTTTGCTTTATCATAATGCAGTTCAAGATTTGTAATGAACAACACAAATGATATCTGAACATCCTGTCTTCTAATTTGCCCTGCTTGTCCCCCAGTGGGTAAATACAACCGGATTCTAATCTAGAGAATGGGTTGTAGGTGTCAGCAAACACACTTAGAAATTCTTACTGAATTTCAGTGGAGTTACACTGACAGCAGAAGACAGAGGTTTTCAACCTTTTTGAGTCCACGGCTTCCTTGACCAACTACATTCTTTCTGTGGCACCCCTGTGGGGCTCAGGAGCCCAATTATGTCACCACTTGCCTGCAGGGCTGGCAGCCTCTCACCCTTTTTTGAACACCCTCGCTTGTGGACTGTTCCCTCAGCCTCCTCTCCTCTCCCCTCTCCTTGGGAGTCCTCCAGTCAGCCCCTGCCCCAAAGAGAGGTGCCTCCTCACACTGCCCCACAGGGGCCTGGGAAGAGGATGCCCCCAGTCTTAGTGGGCCAAAGGAGATTGGCCAAAAGTGAACGTGAGGCCAGCACCTTACCTTGGGAGTCAGCAGTGGCAGCATGCCATGACTGGCGGAATGTCACCTTGTGATGTCATGAAAGTGGGCCTTCCCTTCCTAAACATGTACTGAAAACTAACTTGTTTAATCAGGCTTTCCCTAACATTACTGATCACACTGCTCAGTATTTCTCGTGTTCTGCTTGGATTTTTATTGCATTCTGAGATTACATATTTACTTTCTGTGAATGGTTTTAAGATTATAATTTGTGCAAAGCTTTTCCGGTATATCAGTACAGAGCAGCTGAAGCTATAATTATGCAGGCATACTGTGCATCCGAAGACCAAGTGGGGGCTACTGTTATTCCACAGTGATTTATTTCCACCACGTAGAATTGGGATACTCTTCCATTTGAAACTGACAGATGCTTAATTGGGGGGGGGGGTGACGACTGGAACAGCTCTTCTTGGTGCTCTTTTCCTATCTTGTGTGTGCATTCTTGGCTATAGTAATTGCATTATTTTTTTAAAGATCAAGTGCCATGGTGGCTCTATATTAGTTAGGGCCACCAGGGTGTTGAACCCTAGGCTTTTGGGGGGCCACACATGAAGGGATTTTCAAACACCTGTTAAGTAGTCCACAGTTACATAGCTGTTGTATGACCCAAGTGGGAAAAGTTTGATAGGCCTGATTTTAAAAACCCTTTTAAAAAAATAGTCTTTGGATAACTTTGTATTTTATATCTGTGCTTTATATTTAAGGTTGTGAAGAATCTACTGTTTGTGGCCAAAGTACTGTACCTTATGGCTCCTCCAGAAGATGGCAAAGAAATCAATGACGAGGTGGGCCAGGATGCTGAGGAGCCAGAAGACTTTGGAGAAGATGTTGAAAACGAGACTTCAACCATGGAGGCAAAAGACGACAAAGAGAAAAGCAGCCCAGCCACACTGCTGTGGGTGATGAAAAGACTCTTGGCATTGGCCTCACGTGAAGCTGCATATTCACCCAAGGACCCTTTAAAGGTTTGTATGTTTTTCAGCGAGAACAATTTTACTTTCACAAATAATGCCTTCCAGTTTGACAATAGTTTCAGGATCTCAGGTAGACAAGTGCAAAGGTGTCAGTGCAAATGGTACAAAAATGTAGCCTGTGAACAGCACATCACAGCTTAAATGAAGTAGGGCTATGAAACTGCAAGCAGACCCTTTGTTAGACCTAAACATGAAAACCAGGAGCAGAGATTATTTTCTTTTTAAAAAAACAAATGCCAATGGTCTGTAGAGTTGTGTAACACAAAGTAGGCTCTGAAACCTATTTTCCGAGTTGCTGGAAAAAGCAAGTCACTAGTAATTACCGTATTTTTCGCACCATAGGACACACTTTTTCCCCTCCAAAAATGAAGGGGAAATGTGTGTGCGTCCTATGGTGCGAATGCAGGCTTTCGCTGAAGCCTGGAGAGTGAGAGGGGTCGGTGCGCACCAACCCCTCACGCTCTCCAGGCTTCGCACACCTCTCCGCAAGCAGCGTGAGCCCAGCGCTGGGCTCCCGCTGCTTGCAGAGACTTGTCTGCATGCTGAAGCCTGCGCGCGCTGAGCTCAGCGCATCCAGGCTTCGCGGACCTCTCCGCAAGCAGCGGGAGCGCTCCCGCTGCTTGCGGAGAGTTGCCGGCATGCCGAAGCCTGCGCGCGCTGAGATCAGCGCGTCCAGGCTTCGCAGACCTCTCCACAAGCAGCGGGAGCCAGCGCTGGGCTCCCACGGCTTGCAGAGAGCTGCCTGTTTGGGGCTGGGGTCGGGGGAAGCTAGAGCTTCCCCCGCCCCAGCCCCGCGCCTGGGGGGGAAAATAATTTTTCCCCCTTTATTTCCCCCCCCAAAAAAACTGGGTGCACCCTATGGTCCGGTGCGCCCTATGGTGCGAAAAATACAGTAGGTCATTACAGTATTTGTTTTCATTTGCAGACTGGTCATGTGACCAAATGTATTTGTATTTTCAGAGAACCTGTATCTTTAAATTCCTTGGTGCCATTGCAGTAGATCTTGGGAAAGACAGGGTGAAACCATACCTTCCTACAATCATAGCCCCTCTATATCGAGAACTCAGCAGTACCTATGCAGATCAAGGTAAGAGAGTTGTCATACTCAGCTGTTCGGTGAGACTGTCTCCCCTCCTCTCCTTTAAGTAGGAGGTCTTCCAGTACCAAAAGGTCAATTGTCTTGCATCATCATAATTACACAGTGGAACAGAAAGTGTTGGCATCCATGACGGATGCTTTAGATCAGGGGTGGGAAACCACTTGGTCCCATGAGGCAGATTATCCCAAACTGCACCTGCCCACAATCATGCGCTGGTGAGAGCAAGCCTGCTGGGGTTGGCTGTGCTACTGAGTTTCCCATGGGAGTCATAGTAGTACAGCCAACCCCTTGCCTAAAGCGTGACATGGGGGATTCCAAGCCCAACAGATGGGAGTGGGGGTCACACAGCTGATCCCTGCAGAAAGCAGGCTTGGAGTCAAGTCTTGCTTGGTTTGGCTTTTCTTTTATAGCATGGTTTGCCAGTTCCCCACCCCTGCTTTAGGGACTTAAGATAGTGTTTCAGCTGTGCAGTGTTTCTGTCCTACGCTTACCTGAATGGCCCTTACTGAATGGTGGAGTGGGCACGTGGTCCTCATTTTTCTTTGGCACAGTTGGAAGCTTTAGCTTCCATTTTAAAGTAGTTGCAATTTGCTGTGCTGACTGAACCCTGACAAACAGCTGCTAACCTTAACTAAGGTTTCTCCATACAAACCAGCTTGTTTCAACTAACCATTTAACTGTGGGTTTGGATGACATGTTGATCTAAAAGCAGATGCTTCCAGTGTCCCAACAGGAGGGGTGACTTGCACATGCCTACGTATTGTTGGAATGCAACATGTGTCCACAAGAGAGAATGGGGCATTATATGTAGACCTTCTGTAGCACTTGAAGACACACCTGAGTATTCAAAATCATGTTATCTTTGCTAGATCCAACTCTGAAGAATCTTTCCCAAGAAATCATAGAGCTTTTGAAGAAATTGGTTGGGCTGGAAACCTTTTCACTTGTGTTTGCTTCTGTGCAAAAGCAAGCCAGTCAGAAGAGAGCTATCCGGAAGAAACAGAGAGCCCTGGAGGTTAGTGTTTGACTTTAGTTTTACTTGCATTTGCTTTAAAATGTCCAGCTTATCCAATGGCAGGGAAACTTTTATTGAAACCAGGCAACTTCAGAATGTATAGGGGAAACGTTAACATGATGACTTTTATCTGTTTTCTTATTAGGCTGTTGCTAATCCTGACATTGCTGCCAAGAAGAAGTTGAAGAGACACAAGAATAAAATTGAAGCAAAGAAGAGAAAAATAGAATTTCTGCGGCCTGGTTACAAAGCAAAAAGACCAAGAAGCCATGCGTTAAAAGACTTGGCGATGGTGGAGTGAAACACTATCACATGACTCCCATTATAAATGTTCCATGCTATACAGAACATGAGAAGACAACTGCAGCAGCAGGTGCTCTTCCCTGCCACTCATTTAGAGGATGTTTCAACATAAAATAGTATATACTAAGAACCACAGCAGGGAAGAACAACCTCTTGCAGAGACAAAAAAAACAGCTGTCTTACGGATTACTAATTATTTATTTGTAATTTTAATCTATACATACCCTGTTCAACTGATGCCTTAAAATTTCTCTCCAAATGTTTCTTTAAGAGGATACATTATTAAGGCTGAGCCTTTCAGGGCTCTATAGTTCACTGTAAAGTGATGTACAGTTTGTGGTAATGCAGTGTTTTTTTCTAATGAAATGTGTTCAATGAACCTTTGAAATATTTTCTCCTGTGTGTGATTAACTTAAGATGGGTGATTTAAACCCTTGTTCAATCCTCCTCGTGGAGATGCATTTTTACGTGCTGGTATCATGACAAAGTGCTGCTACTCTTTCCATTGGCCCTGTAGCGGGAGGCCTATGTTTTTCAACCCTTGTGTTGATTGCTATGGAGAAATGTAGCTTTAAAAAAACCCAACTGAACGATTGCTGAAGGAGATACAGTACCCAACAAGGTGAATCATACCATGGAGGCATGTGGTAACATTCCTCTTTTTCCTAGTTTTCTACAGTCTTCATTTAAAAAACTCAAATTAGGTTTTTAAAAAGCCACCTGTTTGTCGAGTACAGTGATTCCTTCTGTAGCTTTCGGCTAGCAATTTATAGGAAAGTTTCCAGATCTAAAGTGAACCACTGGCTTAGGTGCTTTCCACTGGCCTCACTTAAAATATTTCAGGATACATAGCTTCCCTCAAATCACAACTGAGTCCATGCAGCCCTCAATACATTAAATAAGCATATTCAAATACCTGCCGAACTTCCTGGTTAACTCTGAACCTGCCCTCTCTCCACAACAGCTCCATTACCAAGCATATATATCTTGAGCACATCAAGGCTTTCCTTCACAGGTTACACTGCAAGCAAAATACTTAACTGCCCAGGGTTCCACTATTGGTTGTAAGAAAACAAAGAACTGTATAAGCAGCACTAACAAGGGTCCCCACATTACAATCAAGTATCAAGGCTTCATCTTGCAACAGTTCTGATCATTTGGATAATGCCACCCAGACTACTTATTTAAGCTACTCTTAACTTCAAAAAAGGAACATGGGTGGTGCTGTGGTCTAAACCACAGAGCCTGCCGATCAGAAGGTCGGTGATTCGAATCCCAGCGATGGGGTGAGCTCCCGTTGCTCGGTCCCTGCTCCTGCCAACCTAGCAGTTCAAAAGCACGCCAAAGTGCAAGTAAAAATAGGTGCCGCTCCGGTGGAAAAGTAAACGGCCTTGGACCTAATGGTCAGGGATCCCTTTACCTTTTTACGAACTACAAAAAGGAACACATGAAAGGCAACAGGCATGAAATAGAAAAATCTAGATAAATGATAGTTAAATATATTTATTAGTGTTAAATAGTTTCAAACACTTAGAATTCCAAGTAGCAAATGTTTATTCCAATTTATTCTCATGGACTATCAGTTATATGACTGTCATAAAAATTGATGTTACATAACTTACACAAAAAAGAATGTAGTATTTTAAACATAGTATACAGACAAACATTCAGTTGATTCAGTGTGATTTACAATGCAAAGAAGCCTCATTCCTTTCAAAAGTTATTCGGCCAGTCCTATTTACAGAATTGCATTTCATTCATATGACAGCTGAAGGAAACTTCCAAGTCCATTTCACTGTCTGCTCTTCAAAGTCTCCACCAACCTAGAAAGATTCAGCTTTGTGATTACATGTATATATAATGATAAAGCAATTATGAAGACTTAGTTACACCAAGATGCCTTGTAGCCCAGCAGGCTCTATACTACATATACACAACCTTAAGAATTTAACACCTGTGGTACTTACCACTCCATTGCCTCATCAAGTCCAGTGCCTTTGGTTGCAGATGTCTTGAATATCTGCCATTTTCTATCCTTCAGAGCTGGAAGTCCAAGTGCATTTGCCATTTCTGTTGGAGTCATAGCCTGTTCCATATCTTGTTTGTTTGCAAATACCACTAAAATGGCTTTCTTTAGTTCTTCTTCCTAAAAGAGGTGGCAGATTATGTCACAAAAGTGTATTATTAAGTCTTGCCTTGAGTCATGCAAAATACCTAAAGCACAGTAGACAGGCTGACTGAAAAACTGATTTTGTTATGGGTTTGGTTTTTTTATTTACAATTTTAAAAAACTTAAAGTATTTAAGAATTCTCCTTTCCTGCTAGTTTTGCATTAGAAATCACTATATGAGAAGATCCATTGATAAGGCTGTATTTGATGTTACAGTATTAGGTGTGAGCGCTTACGTTCAGATGCCGAAGGTTCAAATGTATCATCCTTATAGCCATGCATCTAAATTGGGTGGGGACCTTGGGCCCTCCAGATGTTGCTGAACTACAACTCGCATCAGCCCCACCAAGCACAGACAATGGCCAAGGATGATGGGAGCAACATCTGGAGGACCAAAGGTTATCCACACCAGATCCAGATGGTGTGCAGTTGCCTGAACAGCTAAATCTTCCATGGCCGCTAGTATAAGATCAGGGGGTAGAAAAAGGCATTTAATGGATCCTCATGGTTTTAAAACATGCTTAGGAGTGAAAAAAATAGTAAAGGCTAGTGGTATATAATCTCCTGCAGTGCCCCAATCCCTTTGCACTGTTCTTAATTGAAGGCAGCCAGAAACTTGAGCAAAATTACAAGAATCATCCCAATCCTTACTCTTGCTCATGTGGTACAAGTACAGAAATCAAACACACTGTATTTGCATATGACTTATCAAACACATGCGAAGTTCCAAAACTCCAAGGGATACACAGATGCTGCAACAGGTTGGGTGTGAAAAAAATATTTCCACCAATAAATACATGAAAACTTGCAGAAACAGCAGTACAAATCTAAAACAGTCTCAGGTTGATAGCAAGGTTGGTCCATTTCATAATTGTTTTACGAAGTTCACTGAGAGTATCTAAAACTATCTTTTTTATTAAAAAAAACAAAAAAAGAACAAAAACCTCAGGTTTCCTACCTCCAACATGGCAACAAGCTCAGACTTTGAAATTCCAATTCTGTCCCTGTCACAGCTGTCAACTACATAAATGACTGCATCTGTATTGGAATAGTAACATCTCCAATAGGGCCTGGAAAATAAACACGTTATTATTTAAAATGTATCAGGTGAAACAATCACAGCTCAATCATCATTATTTCCTGGCTGCCCTTTTCAGGCATAACCATAGATTAAATTTAGGAAGATTATAAGTCTGATAAAGGAAAAAACTAAACTCTGACATACAATCTGTAATATCTACTGAAAGACTGTCTTTATCTACTAATATCTAGTAGCTAAACCCTCACACTATTTCCCATTTCTGTCACAAGCAGTCATAAACTGATCCAGTAACACTTGTGTGCCTTCAAAAATCCAGTCTACTTTCCATTATCAAGGAATTTTAGTGGCAAAAAAGGGAAATAAATCTTAGGAAGGGCACATAAAGTCAAGTTCAGGTTAAGCAGCTTCAAACCCACAAAGAAATTCACCAAGTATGCTCAGTTCTGCTGAAGTAAGTAAGTTGCCTGCATGGGAAGTTATTTTTTCAAACTGGAATGTCATAATAAACATTTTAGAAATCAGATTTTTAACTGTATTGACAATTAGCAGTAAGAAAATATGTTCTACCTAACTAAAATCATGTCAGTTTTATAACACTAGATTATGTTCTTTTCTAACCATTGCGGAATTTCTTAAGGACCTCAAGCACTGAGTTAAATACAGTATTTCAGAAGCCATGTCCTGGGTTTGCACTCCTGTGCTTTTCCCCCAGATGTGCTATACCTGATGCTTGTCTGTCCTCCTAAGTCCCAGACTTGGAACTTCAGATTCTTGTAGGTTACTGTCTCAACATTGAAACCAATTGCTGGAAAAGAAAAAAGTAATTTAGCAGTGCATTGTTTTTAATGTTGCAAACCAAATCCTATTGTTGAAATCTGAATATACAACATCTTTAATGGTACATATGTTAATTTCTGTTTCAAGACACTATTTTATGAGTCAATAAAATAGTGGCTTGCCAGTTGGAATGACCCACCCTCTCTTCCTCATGTGCTGCTCTGGGATTTTCCCAACTCCCTTCTGAGCTACTTTTGGGGCAGAGGGGGGGGGAAGCCCCATTACTCAGGGGAAAGTCCTTGCACAGGGCTTCCACTGGCAAGGCTTCTTAAGTGAATCCCTCCTACAATCCTGATTTTCTAATTAGGATGACCTAGAAACAAACCATAGGCTCATTTAGCGGGTATTTGTTCTGCCCATATTTGAATACACATTTCTTTAGCATTAATGTTAGATACTCAGGTTGCAATTCTATAAACATTTACTCAAGAATAAATCCCATTGAATTCAGTGGGGCTTACTTCTGAACAGACATCAATAGGATTGTGCTATCAAAGAGTTAGAAATTAGAATTTCTAATTTTTAGTGATTTAAGGCAGTGACACTGGGAGGAGCACAGAGAGAAGAAACACCCTGGTGCATCTGCAGCAGCGCAACCAGCCACCTTCATCTGCCCCAGCCGCAACAAAACATATCTTTCCCATATCAGTCTCCACAGAAGGGGTAGGCAACCTGCGGCCCATGGGCCACAAGTGGCCCAAGGGGGTCGTTTAACCGGCCCATGAGCCACCCCTGAACCGAGCTGCCCTAAACTGGCACAGCGCGGGGACTCGCTTCAGCAGCGCTGGAAATCGCGTCTGTGCAGATGCAGATGCCGGAAATCGCATCTGCGCAGACACAGAAAATTGTGGGCGCATGCAATCTGGCCCACAGGGATCTCTGCTGAAGTGAACCAGCCCAGGTGAGGTAAACCTTGCCGACCTCTGCTCTACAGCCACAGCAGGCGCTGCAACCTTCCAACAGTTTGACTTCACCTCCAAAGGTGCACTCCTCCATTATGTCCTGAGACAGACTGATGTCAATCAAATTACATCTGTTTTAGGTGCATTTCAGTAATTTGAGCTTGCCACATTTAAACCTTATTTAACAATGGATGAGTGAACAGAACATAGAGCATTGCATTACATGTGATGCATTGTGTTACATTTAGAAGAACACTTACTAGGAATGGTAGTCACAACTTCTCCAACTTGCAACCTGTAGAGAATTGTTGTCTTTCCTGCTCCATCTAATCCCAAAATTAGAATTCTCATCTCCCGCGTACCAAATAAACTGGAAAAGATGGTTGAAAAAAACCCACCTATAGAGAACAAGAATAATTGTCAAAACTGAACTGTATTATCATAGACTATCAAATATTAACAGCTTGTTTCCAAAGCTCTTATGAAAAGAGGTAAGACAGATTTCTTGGGGAAAGGTCTTACAGTCATACCTCGGGTTACAGACGTTTCAGTATAAGAGCATACAAATTCTCCACCAAGAAGAACAGAATGTAAGATTGTTCAACACTTGTTTTGTATAAGGCTCCTGCAAGTGTGCCCTATGATTCCTGTATATATACTATAATCTGGACAAAGAATCAGAGCTGGAAGGCACCCTGAGGATCATCTAGTCCAACCCCCTGCAATGCAGGAATATGCAGCTGCAACCTTGGCGTCATCAGCTGCACGCTCTAACCAACTGAGCTATCCTGTCTACATGGCAAGGTAGACTCTCTATTAGACTTCTGCTGTAACCTCAATTCCTCCCTCCCCTATCTAGGTCTGGAGAGTTTCCAAAACAAACTTCCTCAATACCAGAGTCACAGAAACCTCACAGAATTGTATAGGTAAAAGGGACAACACGGATCATGCTCTACCAACTGAGCTATCTCAGTGTCATATGAATAAAAGGACCCTACCCAAGAAGCCTACAATCACACCCTTGCTAATTCAACCATCACTCCAACCACACCCACACCCACAGAGTATCATTCAGATTTCACAAAATTACCTCTAAAGAGCACTCATAAACCATAAACCATGATTTATTGTGTATGAACAAAATCACATATCACTCCTCCTGAGCTGGGAGAAATCAAATCATGATCCCCAGTGTTACATCATGGTTTTCTTCACTCCGACCAAACCCTAATCTGTAACCAAGATTTCTCCTTAATTTAGTAATCGTAGCCTGCTGGATCAAAACAAACCATTTGGACATAACACCATGCCAAGGATCACGGTTTGTTTTCTCCTAGCATTAGTTGGCAGGAGTGCAGCATCCCTTACTGGGGCCTGTCTCTTTCCACCAAAATCTGCTTTCCCGAAATTAAGAAGAAAAGCGGTCTTTCATTATGGAGCAGGCCACACAGGTACCTCAGAAGGCTGATAAACCCATGAAGACTCAACAGGCGGAGCCTTAACAATTATTTATTGAACAACAGCAATCTACAAAATCTTCCAGGACATTTCTTTTTTCTTCTAGTCATCAGAAATAGGAAGTTACTTTGGTGAAACCAGACAGCCCAAGAAAACAAGCCTCCTGTAGGGTAAGTAATCATCCCTGAGCACTGGCCAGGCAGGCAAGGGCTGAGAGCAGCTGGAGTCCAACAACATCTGGAGGGTTCCGGGATTTCCCGAGGAACGTGGTGGGTGTGCTGCTCCCAGGTCCCTTCCCCCAAAGCGAAGTGGCTTCGGGTGGCGCTGGGAGAGGCGAGGCAGCGCGCGCACCGGAGGAAGGCGGAGCTGGCGCGGGAGCCCAGGCCAAGGACCAGGTGGGCGAGGACCCCGAAGGAACCTCCCCGCCCACGGCAGAGCAGCCGGGCGAAGGAAAGCCGGCCTCCTCAGCAGCGGCCGGGAGAAAGGGCGCCGCGTGACGTTACACGAAGGGAAGCGGGGAGGATTCCGCTCCGGGCAAGGCACTCGAAGGTGCACCTCCCTCCCGGGCTGCGTCTGGCCCAACGAGCTGCAGCGAGAGGGGATTTTCCGTACGGCCCCAGCCTGAGGGAAACTCCTCGTGAGGGAAAGCTCGCCTGCTGCGACACGGGAACGAGAGCCGTCCCGGGGAAACGCAGCGCACCGAGTGGCCTCCCTCGGGGGGAGAGAGACACGCTCCTCTCTCTCGCCCCCGCCGTTTCCAGGCGACCTGCTTCCCGCCCGGCCTGCAGCTGCGCCACCGCTTCACCCGCCCCGCTTCTCCCTCAGCAGCCCGGCCGCCTCAGGGCCCTTTCCTCACCCATGGCTGAGGCGCTTTCCCGCGTCGCTTCCCTCTCAGAGAAACCGCGCCGACCCCCTGCGCCGCCGCGGCCGCCGCCGTTAACCCGGAAGTTGGCCGCGAAGCTGCTGCTTCCACGTCGACCGCCTCCCTCACAGCCGCTGGGCACACGGAAAGCAAAGCAGGGGCAGCGCGCCGATTAGGGCTTTCGACACGAGGGGACGGAGCGCGGCGCCGACGGAGCTGAAAAGGGCTTCCGCCGCCACTCCCGTCAGGTGCTAAGGCTAGTGGGGATCGTGTGGCAGTGACCCCTTTAAAAAAAAAAATCTTTTCACGATTTAAACAGTTACGTGACGAATCTGCCGTTTCGAAACGAGATGCCGCTTCCTTGCTGGAAAGTAGCGGCAGGAGGCGTGAACCGCTGAAGGGAGGGGTCACATGGGCTGCGGGGGCGGGGCGTTCTTGGCCCGCGTGGCGCCATGAGGGGATTCACGTGGTGAGGACGCGCGCGCCTCGGTTTGGCTGAAGGAAAATCCCCAGTGGACTGGCTAGCGCTTTCATGTTGCGGGAGCAGCGTCTAGGATCTTCCCTTACAAATAAACATTTGGTAGGATTAGTCCCCGGTGCGCAAAGGATGGTGCTTGACAGGCGAGCAACTTGTTATAGGAAGGTAGAGCAGAAAGGTAAAGGTAAAGGTACCCCTGCCCGTACGGGCCAGTCTTGACAGACTCTAGGGTTGTGCGCCCATCTCACTCAAGAGGCCGGGGGCCAGCGCTGTCTAGAGACACTTCCGGGTCACGTGGCCAGCGTGACATCGCTGCTCTGGCGAGCCAGAGCCGCACACAGAAACGCCGTTCACCTTCCCGCTAGTAAGCGGTCCCTATTTATCTACTTGCACCCGGGGGTGCTTTCGAACTGCTAGGTTGGCAGGCGCTGGGACCGAGCAGCGGGAGTGCACCCCGCCACGGGGATTCGAACCGCCGACCTTTCGATCAGCAAACCCTAGGCGCTGAGGCTTTTACCCACAGCGCCACCCGCGTCCCTAGGTAGAGCAGAGGTTGCTGTTAAATATACACACTAGTGCATGATCTCTGTAATCATGCGTGGCAAGCAGAAATTAAACCGCAAAGAAGTGTGCTTCAGTATTGGCTTCCAAAGGCGATTCAGGAATCAGGATACTGCTTGGGCACAAGATTGCCCTCAGCCAAAGTGTTTCATGATAAGCTTTTAGAAAAACAACAACACAGTAGCACTCTACTATGTATGCATCAGGTTAAGATCCTCAAGGGTGCACACAGGGATAACCTGCAGCTGTCAAGTCCCCTGGAAGTATAGTCTGGAACAGCCTTGTAATTAAAACATTCAGCTGGTAATTAACATGGAATTGCATGCAGGTGAATGAGTACTCAATCATTTCTTTGTGCCCAGCAGAGAGAACAAGTGGTTTGAGTTCTTCAACGGCCAACCCACAGCAGGTTGAAGAATTTTTTATTTTTGGTAGGTTTTTGTGGCCTTATTTAAAAGACTGTTCTGGAAGTAACACCTCATATTTCTCTTACATTTTTGATGAACAGGGATAGAGTGACAAGAGGGTTAAGTTTTAAAATCAGTGAGGGTTTTAATGGTTTAAGCACATCATCCACTTTTGAATGGAGAAGTTTTCACAATGAATACGTACACAATAAAATAAGTAAAATCTGGTAACCTAGATTCCCCAGGATACATTGCTTTCCCTTTATCCCTAACTGCATATTATACAAAACTATTACTACTTCTCTTTTGGAAGCAGTAAGGCAAGAGTACAGCTGACGTGGAGAGTGGTTACTTATGAAGTGGGTTGATTGGTTTTCTACTTCTATTTTGGCAATCAGCAAAGAATTGAATCCCAAAAAACAATCTTTATTCCCATCGGCATGGTTTGTACTTGTTACAGCTGTGAAAAATCAGCCAAGATCCCATTTCTGATTAATCTGTTCTTTTAAATTACATCTCCTATCCATAATAGTTTTGTTTTGTATGTATGTATGTTATTTTAAAAATGTTTATTCCCCCCCCCTTCAATAGGTGGATATAGAAAGAATTACACAAAACTGATTCATTATTTGAATGAAAAAATATAGCAAAATAGTTTTGACCATAATTTAGAAAATGACACTTGTACAAAAAATAACTTCAGTGAGGCAAAAGCATAAGTCTTCAGGTCCTTGATAGCCTCAGTAGTCCACGGATGCGTCTAACGAGTGCTTGAATGAAAGTGTAGCGTGATCGGACCTTAGAATAGAGACTTTCAATGTCAAGGAGCTTCTTCTGCAGCGATTCCCCAAAACTGTTGATGGCTTCAATCTGAAGCTGGAGGAGTGGAGAAAAAAATAATGTAACTTCTGTTCATTACACCCTGCTTTTTAAACATACATACATACATTTCTTATTAGAAATACCAGCTCTCATATAGTCTAATTAAAGTTATGTGGCTTTGTGAGGGGAAGGCATATCACAAACCCCTGAATGATAAAACATTGGTCTCAATGAGTTATTTCTCAAGCTGTTAGGAAAAAAAATCAAAGGATCAGGGATAACTGCAATCTTAACAATGTACTCCTTTTAAATTTTATTTCAGAAGGATCTCTCGTCCAGAAGTGGAAATGTAACTTGTCATCTTCAGTAATTATGCAAGATGTAATGGGAAGCATGAATGATGTTCTACAAATTCATCAGAGTTTTTTCTGTGTTTCTTCCCAAATAGAAAAATGAACTAGGTTACAGCTCGTTTGTCTGGAGCAGATAAAGTCAAATCAGCAGCAGAACCAGAAGAGGAGTAGGTGCAGCCTCTTCTTCAGGAAGTCCACACATCACACTAAACCAAGGTTTAGCTTAGCATTATTTGTGAACTGAGCCACTGTTTCCAGAAAAGACTATTTGAAAGATCTTACCTGATCTATATCAAGTTGGCTCACTCTGCTCAATCCACTTTTAAAATCGAAGTTAGGATCTGAATTGAAGGTATCTTGGAATTTTAAAAAATGACAATAGTTATTTGTAGGTACAAAACAAGCTTTCAAAATGTATAACATAAAACAATTTATAGGACTGTAGCCTATGTGCCATAGAGAGCACTTTCAGCTTAGTAAATATGATAGGATTGTGCTTTAAGATTTCTAGCTTGTTTTGTCTATACAGTAATCGCCTCTCTATACCGTATCATCTTCCTATCCTAATTTTTCACCAAAACATACAGGTAGAAGTGACTTACTTGTCCCAGGCAACCAAACTGGTTTTCCTTTAAGTCAACCTCTAGCTTTCAACTTGGCGAAGCCACGATCTGAATTTCTGTGACTTGTATGCAGGTGCAACATTAATACACCTGGCTTTAGCTGGTGGCATCATTAAGCTTCCGCAACCCACAAATCAGTGCCATAAAATATCTGAACATATGGGGGCACAGACAAAGATTCCACACTATATGGGAAAAAGCTAGTCAACTCTTTCTTTTGAACTGGGAGGAAACATGACTTGGGAAATCTGAACCTTGTTGGTGGAATCTCTCCCCATCAAACTCCCTTATCAATGTTACCTGTCACCCATCTACCACCCCCATAAAACTACTTAGCTAGCCCCCAAAGGACTCCTCCTGAAAGGACCTATTGAGTTCACCTCTTGAGGAGGTAGCTCAAAACTTTACAAGATTCAACAAGTTTGCTGAACTTAAAATAATAAAGTACTTCAGTGTACATTTTGTTGAACAAGAGACATCTATTTTTAATGCAGCTGTGTTTGATAATCCAATTAAAATCAGTCCAATCAATGCAAAAAATCCCTCCCTGCACTACTGTGGTGCAGCAATTGCCAAAACTGCATTCAAACACATACTGCTTGCACCAAACAAAAGTAATGTTTATGACTGAATAAAAAATTGTTACCACTAAACTTACTTAAGCAGGCTAAAAACCATTCAGAATTCTTAATTACACTGTCATAACCTAGTGTGTAACTTTAATCACACAGCATAATACAAGAACCCCTAAAAGTCTGAGGAAAACTACCTTGTAATCTTCTGCTCTTGATTCGATTCCTGGAGGCCAAAAGAGAATCCTGAGAATCCGTAGGGGTACAGTGTAGCAGATAGTGTTCCAGGTGCCGCCAAAGAATGAAAAGGCACGTTTCTATAATATCTGCAAGCATTTCTAGTAAAGGAAAATGCAGAGAGAGAGAGAGAGAATTTGGAAATGAGGGCTCCTAAGAGCCCCTATATTGCCTCAACATTGTTCTAGAAAACTTAACCATCTTTAAGTACTAACACAAACAAGACCACATTTCTCCAGGGCAGATCTTTCCCCACAACATTCATGCATATTTCCAAAACACAGGTAGGAGACAAAACTGTTGTTGATACTGTCCTATTGTTATCACCACCATAAACAACATCATATTTATACTCTGCCTTTTTCCCTGACAGGACTCAAGGCAACTTACAGATAAAACCAAAACCACTAAAAACATAGGAAAATTAAACATTGAAACAGATTTTTTATATGTAATTAAGCTTGAATTCTATCAAACATACATAATTACAAAAAAGCAACAGCACAGCACTAGTCCTTTATTTAAAAGCAGTCAATTCCCAAAAGGCTGTTGGAACAAGAAGGGAGGAAGCCTGTCTAGTTTCCCTAGGGAGGGGGGGTTCCAAAGTCACAGAGAAGGCCCTAAACTGGTAATTTCCCAAACAAACATGTGTAAGAAGAAACTGCAGGCCACCTTACCACCAACACACACTACTAAAGCATTAAACAATTTAACAGTTTTGCATTACATGTCCAACAAACAAAAAAGAAATTAAGAAACCCTTAAGACCAGAAACTACTTCTGCCTCTTAAAAAGGGACAGAACCTTCTCTCTTACTATATTCCACTGTTTACGAATGAGATTCAAATCAGTAACCAAAAACAGGGTTTTGACATTTTCTTATATTACACTGTAAAATTCATTCTGATATATTTGAAGGGCATTGGATCTAGTTTCTAGACCAGTGATAATGCAGTTTTGTAATATAAATTATTCATTGTTAACCACATATCTGAATGAAGGAGACACTTCCATCTATCTGTAAGTAAACATCACAAGTTCAGGTTTACAAGGACTGAGTCCTTAGTTGGGTACCATACCCTGCAAGGTTTCATGATCTAGAAAAGTCAATATTTAAAGTGTGAAGATTGACGAATAAGCCCCTCTCTCCCTCAGATTTCATGAACAAGTTCTGAATTTCCAATTTTTTAAAAAAGCTGACTTAGAAATTTCACCAGTAAAATTTTCAGTGTCTCATCATAATTATCAAAAGATACAGCAACACAGAGAAAGCAACTTGGCTCGATTGTTGATCAACTTCACCAACCGTCGCTTTGCCAAGATGTATTTTTGGGTAGTAGAAATTTTGTCTACTCCAGCGAGCATAACTGACTGGCACAACTGTGAAAAGAACAAACACACATATAAAGACATACTAGACATACTACCATGTAGCTGTTCACTAAAGTGTGTAGGAGCCCTACAACTCCACCACACAGAAAATCTGACTTTATCCTATTTTACAGAAAACTTAAAAACGTGTTAATGGGAAGCTTTGGATTTATGACTACTTTTGTTCTTAAAAGAAATCAACTTACATATTTTCAGACAAACTAATCCCTAACCTGATAATCTCTGCAAAGTTTGATGGGGAAAAATAGTTTAATCATGTAATTTTATTCTGTGTCTAAACCCAGAATGTTTACCTCACACTAGCCCTTCTGAGAGTTAATAAGTATAAATATAGATGTTGAAAGAAAAACTCAACAGGATGCTTTTCTGGAATGTTAGAATAATGTTATGGCCACTGATACATTTACTAAGCTTTCCTTCACCAACTGGTTATTTACAATAATGATACATTCTTTTGCATAATAAATCTGAAGGAGACTCAAAGGAACAGAAGTTGGTTACCTCTTTTATCTCATCTGGTGGCAGTTGCTCCACATTCTGCAACTTGCTAACACTCTGACGATGGCTGTCGTAGTAACTGAAGAAGTCATTGGCACTCTGCTTTAACAGATAGACAATTATACCCAAGCCAGGCAAACGCCAATAAGGAATCACCGCTGCTTGTGGATCTAAAACAGATGACAACCCAAGTTTTAAAAATTAGCTTAAATTTCCTGAGGGGCGGTAGTTAAAGCCTAAATTTATAAACATTGAAATTAATTTAATATATAGATAAATACAAAGATAAATCGATGTAACCGCATTACTTATTTTGTGATAGATGTTTCACACAACCAAATACGGCTATCTGGGCAGTATTTTCAAAGCCTAATTACTATTTCTGTCATATAAAACTGCTGGCAAGATATAAGACTGTTATATAAGATATAATAATAAATAATAATAATAAGAGGAGTTTGGATTTGATATCCCGCTTTATCACTACCCTAGGGAGTCTCAAAGCGGCTAACAATCTCCTTTCCCTTCCTCCCTCACAACAAACACTCTGTGAGGTGAGTGGGGCTGAGAGACTTCAAAGAAGTGTGACTGGCCCAAGGTCACCCAGCAGCTGCATGTGGAGGAGCGAGGAATCAAACCCGGTTCCCCAGATTACGAGACTACCACTCTTAACCACTACACCACACTGGCTCTTTAAAAGCCTGATCCACCACAGAAAATTTCTCAAACCTTCCAGCAGCATCTCATAACATGATGTAAAGGGAATCTTCAGTATATGAGAAAGAACATGCCGAGGTTCGTTAACTTCTTGCCAGTGTTAACTCAGCTTCTGGAATACAGTCCCTGTTCTACACCAGTAAAACCACAAACCAACCTTGTCGAGGTCCATCTCGATTAGTGGTCTCAGACAGGCTAGGAGTGAAGAGGCAAACTGTGTGCTCGAAGGTGGGGGCACACTGCATCATCAGCAACTGGCAGTATTCCATCACATTGGCACAGATCTGCAGAGGAAGATAAAAAGCAAGAACAGCAACATCCTTAGGATAATGGCAAAAAAAGGAGAAACAGACATTTTACCATTGTGAAAAAGGGACTTTTAGTTGTATTACTCAGCAGAGGCTCACCTGTTGCATGGCCAGTTCAATTTCATCTCTCTTGTTCACTTTGTCTCCCTCTGCTTGATCGTCTTGCAGCTTAAACTGACGCAATCTATCACCACCACCAAACCTTGTTAGGAGGCCCAAGCACTGGCGCTGAAAATCAAAGGAAGGTAGAGAAACTGATGACTGTTTCCGCCTACCAGGTATAGCTGCTTGTTATCTATTGCATGTCTGTCATGCCAGGGAGGAGGGAGTTGAATTCAAACCATTAACAGGAAACAGTTGCTGTGATCATAAAATTGCATACCTGAAATCGCCCAATATGTCCTTGCAGTTCAATCTGCATCCCTTCAGTAACATCAAGGTCAAAATCACCTAGTGCACCTAATGAAATATAATACAATGGGGGCTCAATACTTATTTTTATTCCTCTTCTGGTTAGAATGCATAATCAAATAAGCGACACATAAACATTAGCCCAAGAGTTTTTGTGAACTTGACCCGCCTATTCAGTTCTATGCAAGTCAAAAGTTTGCACATACTTTTACGAAGGTGAGTTTGATGAAAGAGATATTTGTGTGTAACAAAGTTAATGATTAGAATGACTATAAACTGGCTGCCAAAGGTACCCACCAGGCAGAGCAGCTTTGCTGATTATCCCAGTCAGCAAGGCCAGTTCTTGCAAGGACCCCACACTGACTTCTTGACACCGCAAGATTGCTTGGATAGTATCTGAATGTGATATTAGGAACTGCAAAACCTATAACGAAACAAGAAAGTATATACAGAAATAAAAATAAAATACAATGAAGAACTTGAGGACAACGTATCAGTAGAGGAGGCTTGGAAATAACAAAACATAAAACACGAAGTCTGCTGTGGGAAGGAGTAACAGTAATGAATCGCCGACACCACTAGGAATTTCTTGCATTTTCCCTTACCTGTCCTGCAGCCTGTGCGTGCTCTGCCATACTTGATGTGAGGATGACCTGGCAGAGCTGAAGAGCTGGCAGAAGAATCTGGCGATAGCGTTCTACAGGAGCCGGAATAAAGACGGGCGTTTCTCGCATTCCAAATATTCTGAAGAAAGGAGATAAAAGAAAATGAGAAAGTAATTAACTGGTAGATTTTTAAAAACATCACAGCAACTCATCAGAACATAAAGTTATGAAAGCTGAGCGCTGCCCCCACTCTCTGTCAAGTGGTAGCAAAAGTCCAGTGGGTTCCAGGAGCTCCCCAGGGCTTGTCCTCCTTTGAAGAATCAAAGACGTGGAGGAGACTGACATAGCTTTAAGAAATATAATTGATTCACATATTTACACCCTCAGTCTGCAAGGAGGCAGTCCAAATCTTATGGCATGGTCATCTCAAGAGAGGCTTGTTCCTATCAACAGTGCAGCACACGAGTCAAAGGCTGCAGAGCTACTTATAGTGAAATAATTTTGTACCACATCTCCAGCAAACATGCACTATTGCTAATATACTTATACCTGTTCGGATAGGATCCTTCCTGACACAGCAGCATGAATTCAATGAAGGCATATAAATGTTAATCGTTGTAAAACACAGAGTGGGGCCGCAGCATTGAGAGATTTTGTTCTCGGGATGTGTTTGCAACTTGGGACATAACTCTGAGGACAAATTGTATGACACTTACCCCTGCTGATCTGTTTCCGGTCGCATGTCATATACCTGACACTGGGCAAGCTTCACAATCACTCCAGATCTACGTAACTCTAGTGCTCCCTGCTGTATTTTGGCCACTTTGGTCAGGAATGCCTGAAACATATTGTAAAAAATAAAGAAAATGAATTTCAAAAAGAACATAGGACAATATTTTTGTTTAAGTATTTTTCTGTCAGCAACCTTAAAACATACCCTCAAGTTAAAACTCAAAAACTGAATTAAATTTGTTTATTTAACTCATCCAATGGACGTGATTTAAAATACACTTATTTAGAATTCTAGGATTTAAAAGCAACTTGGAATAACACATGGTGTTGCACTAATCTAAGAAATTGCTCAGAGGTTTTTTTCTATGAACTGATTTCCCCATAACATGTCATAAACTGCATTTGAAATGCTTCTAAGCCTCAGAGGCAACTTGCCATGTAGGAACTGGTGTGTGTGTGTGTGTGTGTGTGTGTGTGTGTGTGTGTAAAAGCTGCAGGTCAAGAAATATAATTCTAAAGCACCCGCAACTTGTTGAATTAGGTTTTCAGATTTCGGATACTGGCTATACAGGCTACTGCCCCTTAAAAGACAAGCAATTGCTGAGGAGCAGAAAGGGAAATCTCGCCTGATCCAGTAGAGCAGAGCAGATCCAGAACTTGCTATGTACAGAAGTGGAGAAAAGACTAGGATGGAAGTAGGAATCCTAGTCCAGCAACCTGACACACCTTTCTTTCTTCAAAGAACTTTCCTACAGCTGGAGAGGAGAACACCCTGTGTTTTATACCACTAAGTAAGCTATAAGAAGTATGAGCATAAGACATCTCTATCTAGTTAATATTTGTAATAGGAACCCTGATGTGACACAACACTTATTAAGCCAGGTTATGCATGAGGTCCATGAACCCACACACAGTTTCTTTTGCTCTTGCCGTGGTTCCTCCTGCCGTACAAATAGAGAAACAAGCCAGGAAGCTACAACTGACCATAGCTACCCATTATGCACAAACTGGGAACAGTGACTCCCAAACATGCCAGTACCGTCTTCCCCCAAAAGTAAGACATCCCCCCAAAATAAGACCTACTTCCAGTTTTGCCTCTCGCTGTAATATAAGGCATCCCCCCTGAAAATAAGACCTCCCCGATAATAAGGCCTCCCCCGAACATAAGGCCTCCCCAGAATATACGGTAAGGCCCCTGAAGCTACCGTAAGGCGTCTGACTCCTCTGGACCGTAGCAGCGGGCGCCACCGCGCAGCTCACTGATTGGCCGCAGGGCAGCCGGAGCTGTTCAGGCAGTGCGAGGTCTCTTTAAATCAGAGAGCCCATGCGGCCGCCAGGACAATGTGCCGCCTGCTGCTCGCTCTGCCCTGACGGGGTCTGGCTGACTCACAGACAATAAATGTGTACCATATTCTTCTTCATGGAAAAATAAGACATCCCCTGAAAATAAGACCTAGCGCATCTTTGGGAGCAAAAATTAATACAAGACACTGTCTTATTTTGGGGGAAACAGGGTCTATGAAACCATGTTTTAAAGTTGTCTTACAAATCTTGGCTTGTTTGGATGCCATACACCACAATTCCCAGTTTGCATGTAACAAGAAGCTTTGGTTAACTGTGCTTTCCGTGCTTGTATCTTTACTTGCACAAAGGGGCTGTATGCAGGTTCATGATGCTCATGCATATCTTGGATTATTAATCCAGGATTTGGCTGTGTGGAGCCCAGGTCACTGAACAGTTATTCAGAACTTACCATTTTTGACTCATAGGTGTACAGTGCTTTAAGTAGAGGAGGCTGGGGTGTGAGTAAGCTTTGCAGCTTGAGGTCGTCATCTGCTAGGCTATCTACAAGCACTTTTAGATAGCCACTGTTGGAGAGATACAACAACCATTGCTGCTGTTTATCTACAGAGATGATGCGATCAAGCAAGGCTAGTGCTAGCATCTGAAAAACAAATATGAAAGACTAAATTCCTCAAGAAAGGATACAAAAATTATGTAATATCTGCCACAGCTTATTTAAAAACAGGGTCTGCAACTATGTTGAAATAATGGGGATGTACAATATCTGCAGACTAGCTAAGATGATACTGGCTCCTAATACTTTAATGTTTTACATTTGCAAGCATGTCAACAAATATTGTACTATAGGAAGTTATTAGTCTATAGTTGCAGCTGCATATCTTGCTAGAATGCAAAATGAGAGAAAAATGATTCCCAGTTTCAGAGGTGCTCTATGGGGGTTGCTGCTGTGCTAGTTCCAAGAAATCTCCACAAAAGCAAAAACTAGTGAATTTTCTTGTTTTCAAATGACATTATTTTAAAAGTTCTGATAGTAAATAAATTCTGTGAATGGGCCACTAATCTCCAGATTAAGAAATGTGTAAGAAAACATGCATTTAACCTACCCCCACTCTAGATCACTGACTGCTGTGATATCAAGAGTTGGGTAGACATTATCAAGGGGGATGGCAAATGTAGATGCTATTTTTAGTGGCAAAAACCTTTTTTATAATGTCCAGTTTGGTTGGTCATGATTATGTACATGCTATTCATCATTAACCGTGTTTCTTCACAAACTGGCGAATTACATTGAAACTATATGGACTGCTTTAAAAATGAAGAACAGAACAAGAGTAAACACCGGACATTCTTTCCCAACCGTCATAGCTTACATTATGTTCGCTCTTCATTATCTACTACCTTTTCTGCTATAGAACCAACTTTAAGTACAAATGCAGTCATTTTTTCCAAATGTAAAAACTGAATGATGTAACAAGGAAAGCAGGCTAACGGCTGCATTACTCAGGCACAGGTAGCAAACGTTTACCACACTTCACCTGGTATATATGTATTCTCACCGGAAAATAATTATCAAAAGCAAGTATGCAAGATATGAAAGACTTACTGAACTTCTTTTTAAAAAATCCTAAACTGTCAAGTAATTCTTTAATAAATATTTGAATGTTCCAAAATTCAGACATCAGTGTGTGTTTCTCCCCAAATTGTGACCTGAACCTGTTTGAAATTAAAATACAGAATATCTTATTTTATTTACCCGTCCAATTTCATGACCATCACAGGCATCTCGGCAGACCACCTCCATTAGGGCAGAACCATAGCTTTCAATAATTGCCATGTTCTCTCTCTGCAGTTTACTGTAAGCATCTTCAGGCGCTGTTAAACGCTCCCACGTGGTCTTCTTGGCTATAAAGAGGAAGAAAAGGACAAAATTAAAGGCGAACAACTACATTTGCCTTCATAGGGAGGGGAAGAGGAGAGTATTTTAGTTGGAATGTTCAAATGAGAAAATAGATCCCTCAGCAAAGAACGTTACTTGTAACAAAATACAAACAAAAAGCTTCTTCGGGTGAACTCTGATGGGAAACACACACATATTTACTTCAGTGAAAGGACACAAGATGCCTTCAATGGAAATGTGCTCATGACAGAAGAAAATTAACCACTCCATTCACACTTTTGGGTCACTGAAGTCTATGAACATAGATGAAGTCAAAGGCTGGATATGGGGCATGGAATAAAACTGACCAGTCAGCTTCATATATATATGGGACTGGGAAATAATGGCTTTGGGAAGCCTGAAAAAACCCCAGAAATAAAGTTATTATTGCTGATGGAGAATGCGGGGGGAAGTATGGGACTGTGAACTCTGGTCATATAAAGAGATCCAATACAGTTGCAAATGCAGCGCTTGTTCTCTTTTCATCACCATTTTGTATTCTACCTGCTTCTAGGGTGTCCGGTTCATCTGGTCTCTGAGCAATCTGCAAGTAGTAAAGCAGTGATCCATACAGGTGTGTTCTCACTCGCTGGAAGCCACCACCTGCTCAGACAGAAAAAAGGGTATTTATACTGTGGAAAAAGACAGCACACATAAACCATTCTTCTGTTGCTATCCACCTCTACTTATTTACAGAATGCTGGCTTTTGTAATGCAAACGCCGATCTGTTTCCCTAGAATCTGGGGAGCACATCAATCAACTGCTTCAAAGATTATGGAATCTATTTTATTGTGGTCATTAAAAATTACCTGTTTTCAGAATGAAATCCAGAATCTTTTTCAATATGATATGTAGAGAAGAGTCTCCGATAGAGGCGAATCCCACCACCATGCCTTCAGAACCAGGTGGTGTTGTGAAAGAACCATCCAGCATCAAGACAAACTGCGAGTGCCCAGGCAAAGGGACGGCAAATGGCTCCTTTTGCTCTGTTCGCACACACTGACTTAAGTGGGCGGTCAGGGTGAACACGGCTGCCGCCACAACAGGCATTAACTCCTGAGCAGCATCGTCATTCAGGATCTTACGGGAACAAAAGAAAGAGTTGCTATTTTGGTACATGCTTGCGATACATGTCTGCATAATTTCTATAGGCATCTCTAATACAAATTACTATAAGCAGAATGTTCAATACTAAATAGCAATGAGACAAATGTGTCTCAGTCATGAAGCGGTGTGTGGTACAGAAACACTGATCTCCTTGCTGGATCCCGCCCCCCAAACTCTCTACTTTGATTGGATCCAAAAGGTACATCTATGACAATCCAGGAACATTTAAAAGCCCATATCCAGCCTCCCAAACCTCCCTTGAGTAAGTGTTAAAAAGTCTGTAAAGTAAAGTTGGGAAGCAACAGTAACAAAAGCTAAATAAGTGGCATAGCTGACTCAGAGCACATAGATTTTGTTAGGGGAAACTGCTGGTAAATATGAATGGATTGGAAACCATTAGATATTTCATAATTCAACTGTGCATTTTAAAAAACTCAAAACGGACACCCAAATTTGCCGTCAGTGTCACCATACCATGACATTTCATGAGGCTTACCTTGTCATGCAAATCTTGTAAGAGATCACGGATAATAAGCTGCCTATCTTCAGGTTGTATAAGGTCCTGTGGGCAGGCAGTTAATATGATTTCCACCAACTGCCTCCAGGACTCCAGAGCATGCCGCTTCGCATAGAGACACTGAAGGAGCTTGTTCCGTTCCACAACATACTGGAGAATTGTGTTGATTTCCTGGACGGTCAAGGAAAGGGTTATCTCATAGGAGACCAAAAAAGGCTCTATTTTTAAACAAAGTTGCAAATGTCATATACATACTAAAAAGTAGCTTCTGAGAATGTTAATTTATATTATATCCTTGGCCTATAATGAAGCAAGGAGTGTGCACACATGTTTGCATTCTCTGCAGTTGCCCAAGGAACCCTAAGACTGCCTTACAAACTCAGCCAAGTTTCAAAAGCAGCTTGAGGATTTTGCCGGGGAGCTGCTTAAAAGGGGGGGGGGATGCCATCAGAGGAATGTGGGTTGTCTCCCCAGTGAGATTCCCTTTAAATAGCAACTCAAATTGCTTTCTATGCACCCTTCTGGGCAGCAGAATTCTCAGTCTCAGTTTTCCTTAGAAGCGATGCTCTGCTTCATCGTGAAACCAGCATCACAGTCACTGAGTGGCCTTAGGTAAGACGAGAATTGCCAGCGCTACCTACATCCAAGCCCTGCTGAGACAATAAATGAAGTATTGCAGAGTAATTTATCTGAAAGCATTTATAAAGTGAAAAGAGCTATATAAATGAATGACAGATATTGGGCTCTTCCAAAAAACAATTAGTAGTAAAAGAATCCGTACAGCTGTTTTTCAAGAAATGGCCACAACTGTGGTTGAGCACATGCTATGCATGTCAAAAAAGGTCCTGAGTTTAATCCGCAGCATCTCCACGTAGGGCCCCTGCTTGAAGTCAGTCAGTGTCAACAACGCTGAGATGAATGGACCAATAAATGGATTCTGTATATGGCAACTTCCCAGGTTTCAATCAAGCTGGCACATTTTAAGTGCTCTTACCTCCATGAGCAAAGGTCTCTGCCCAAGGGCTGCCATTCCTTGTAGGGCATTAACTTCAGCAATCAGAACTTTGTGGAGATGCTAGAATTGAAGAAAGGAAAGTGGTGTCTTTTGTTAATCTATTATGTGTAAAATTTGGAGACAACTGTGAACATGAAAACACTGCTAATTCCCTTTCCGATTCACTTCGCTCATTTCACATTTAGGTCCACAATTTCATTTCCACCCCAGTTCAACTTAAATGAAACAGGCCAAGGAAAGTACAACAATGTTCAACTTGAAATGTCAGCTTTCCTTTTAAGACATTCAATATAAGGCACTGTGTTTTGTAAAGAAGCTGGCACAACAGTGGTAGAATAACCATATCACTATTAGGTATGTAAGTAAAAACCTATATAAATTATTCCAATGTTAATTCTCACATGGAAGAACATGTTTGAGAGGCCACTAACGTAAATGCTGACATACTGAAGTCAGTGGGAGCGTTAAGGTTTTATCTAAAAATCTTCCACGGAAATAAAAAAATGTTTGAAGATACATAATGTTTGCTGCAGTGCACCCTTAAACTAACTGAAGCCAGGTACAGAGGTTTCTAGAAATTGCTCACCTTGACATTGCAGATAACTGGTCCACGTGCACTTCTGTTCTCGCAGTTGGCAATGACCTGCTCAATTTGAGCACGGTCAAAAAAATCCAGCTGCAAAGGTTCTGGGATCTCTTGACTGAAGTCAATTGAGTCTAGGATGCTCAAGATCTTCCTGCGTACTAAGGAAGGAAAAAATGTATTCAGAAATGGAAGAATCAGTTTAACGGAATTCTGAAGACAGAAGTTAAAGCAGCTTTAATGGAAAGAGCTTTCTGATTATAATTAAATTTTGTTCCTAATGGTTTCATTAAATTCTATATATAAAAAGGGAAACATTTAAACCTGAAATGTTAGATGTAGGCACAAATATCTACTTACAGCAGGGTGGGAAAACCTTTTGGCCTGGAGGGCCAGATATTTCATTCCACCCTCAACCTCTGGGCCAAATGACATCAAGTGACGGACAGGTGGATGGTCCTGCCCACCTCTCAGTGTCGGCCAAACAGTGATGGGGAATGCTAGTGAACAAGCAGGACTGAACTTCCCACACAAAAGCTGATGCATGGTGAATTCAATCCTGCTTTCTGCAAGATTGGAGTGTGCAAGTTCCCCATAGACGTCTTTTGTGCACCTGAACCAAGCAGAATTGAACTCCCCATGCACCAGTTGATATAGAGGAAGTTCAATCTTGCTTTCTTCTGTCACATCTCTACTTGCCCCACACTTTACATATGGCAGGTAGGCACGGTTTGGAGAAAACAGCCTGGTGGGCCAAATGGGGAGACTTGACGGGCCAAATCTAGCCTGTGAGACAGAGGTCCCCTGCCTTTGACATATAGTCAGATCCTGGACTTGTACAACCCTATCCGACCAAGATATTGTCATGCACACAGCAGTTTGATTGCAATAGTGTTTGAGGCTCTCTCTCCCCGCCCCCGCCAGGAGCTCTGTCACACTGACCACAAAAAGGGTTATTTGAGGAGTATAAAAAGACCCCGGGAGGTGCAGTAAACAGCCCAACAAACTGCAAATTAGTATACAGATTTATAGCTCATGCCTCCAGTACATGAAACAGTTGTGTTTTAGATTGCTGACACAACGTTTAAACAATAGTTTACAGTTAAATTAATTCACCTGGCTCACAGCCACCAATTTCTCAATATAAGCAAAAGCAAAGACAGGACATTGACTGCCCAGGTTCTAATCCAGAAGGACTGAGTAGAAGGACTGAGTAAACCAGCCACAATGAGACTTACCTTTGGCAGCAGTATCAAAATGAAGAAACCCGCTAACAGACCAGCTTTCATCTTCTATGCCTCCTTCACCTTCAGCTAAGAGGATTGAGATTTTGAAAAAGTTTACTTAAGAGATTGCCTTGCCCCATGCGGACCTATTTGATCACTTTGATCTGTGGCTCTTGCACTTTTACAAGTGTCACATGATCTCCATATGAGGAGGCATTTCATTAGTGTGGCAGCACCTGTGGCTTGGACCTCCCTGCTTAATGACATTAAGCAGTCACCCTCACTATATTGCGTTAGATTGTGCTGAAATTTTCTGCTTCAGCAAGCATATTCAGACATTAGTCAGACATTATTACCAATATTTGTTGTTAAAGTTCTCGATTTTATCTTTGCTTTCAATTATGATAGTTTAATGCATATTTGTTTTAAATCGGTTTATGGATTTTAGCTGTTTCACTGAAAATTTTATTTGTATACTCCTTGGACAGCTTTTCCCAAATGAATGAAAGCAAAGTTGCACAAATTCAAACTTAGCAAAGGACTTTTAAAAATTAAAAATGCTGCTTTCTAGGGAATTTCCGGGAGGTGGGTGGTGCTGTGGGTTAAACCACAGAGCCTAGGACTTGCCGATCAGGTCGGCAGTTCGAATCCCTGCGACGGGGTGAGCTCCCGTTGCTCGGTCCCTGCTCCTGCCCACCTAGCAGTTCGAAAGCACGTCAAAGTGCAAGTAGATAAATAGGTACCACTCCGGCGGGAAGGTAAGTGGCATTTCCGTGCGCTGCTCTGGTTCGCCAGAAGCGACTTAAGTCATGCTGGCCACATGAGCCGGAAGCTGTACGCCAGCTCCCTTGGCCAATAAAGCGAGATGAGCGCCGCAACCCCAGAGTTGGTCACGACTGGACCTAATGGTCAGGGGTCCCTTTACCTTTACCTAGGGAAATTCCAGCCTAATAAAGGATGATTTCATTGTGTGTGTGGTATTATGTCTCAAGTGCTATCAAATATATAGCGTGCACTATAAATGCTCAGTACGGTCCACAGCATGACTGCTAATTCATGTGGTCTGAAACCTTGGCTTATATTTACTTCCAAAGTTAGCCACTATAAAGTGTAAGGAAAGCACTATATCATTCAGATATGAAAGTGGAAAGTAGTTCAAAAATGGAAAGGAGCCCTTTAGATATGAGTAGTATTTGATTCTTAGAGCAGCCTTCCATGCTCCATTTACCTAAGTAGGATTTGACAGGCATGTCATCCAGAAGGAGGTGCAGCAGTCTCTGTGTGTGAGAACGCTGGCGGTTCAGTGAAGTAACACGCAATTCTATAGAGGCCGTCTTCATTAGCCAGGACATCTGGTTCAAAGCTGGAATCTCATGCTCTGAAAGTCAAGATAGGGCAAGAATGGGAACAATACAGACACTTCAGAAGAGCCTACCATTGCTGGTTGGACTCATGTTATATTTGTTACACATCTGCTGCTTGGAAATGTAAGCAAATGGGGCATTGCTCTCTGTGTGGGAAGTTGTTTATGTAAAGCAGCTTTCCACACAATGTAATTAATGGCAAAGCCCTGAAAAAGAGGAGCCGCTTTTGAAATGTATATTCTCTTGGCCCTCCCAACTGCACAACGCAGACATTAATCACCTTATTAGAAAAAAATAATGCACGCAGAGTGGCTCTAGGATACCTACAAATACACAAAAGGAAAAATGACTTCTCTCTCCCTGCCAGGACAAGAATTTGCAAATCTTGCTAAGATGAGACTTTCCAAATTCTGTTAAAAAGGCAAAAAAGAAGAAGTGATGCTTCCAAGCAATGAATGAGAATTGAAAAAAGAATGTAAGATCACTGGTGTCTCTTCAAGTTGTATTCAATGCTATATGAGATCCAGAATGCCCCATTCTTCAATACTTTTAAAAGGGCCTTGAAGATATTCTCTGTCATGGTCTTCAGTGACTAGTTGTAGACTGAGTGACATAAATGGTGCTGTGATCTGTTTTTTCTATCCAATGCTGGGCTATTTGTTGTTTTTGCTAGTTTTATGAAGTAGATGTTACAAATATTCTAATTGGTATTTTTTGTGTATATTTTGCAAGCCACTTGTAAATAATATTTCTTAAATGCAGATTCAGGTAGGTAGCCATGTTGGTCTGACACAGTCTAAATTAAAAATTTAAAAAATTGTCCAGTATCTGAAGTGTGCACGCACACGAAAGCTTATACCCAGAACAAACTCAGTTGGTCTTTAAGGTGCTACTGGACAATTTTTTAATTTATTTAAAGCAGGTTATAAATAACTTGCTAAAAATAAAATTATGAGACAGTACTTGAAAAGTCTTACCTTTGACAGAAAATGGTAAATGCTGCAACTGAGAGAACAAAAAATCCTGGCTGGTTCTCAAATATCTCATTGTTGGGCCTGAAGTGTCTGAGCAGGCACACAACTGATAGATCACCTGTTTGAACAAGAAGGAAATCCAGATATTAGTTTCCTTTAATATTAGCCAAAATATTTCTAATTAAGTACAGTGGTGCCTCGCAAGACGAAATTAATTCGTTCCGCAAGTCTCTTCGTCTTGCGGTTTTTTCGTCTTGCGATGCACGGTTTCCCATAGGAATGCATTGAAAATCAATTAATGCGTTCCTAGGGAAACCGCCTTCAGACCAGGTCCGGGGACAGTCTGTCCCCGGACCTCTTCTGAAGGCTGGGGGGGGGGGAACAAGGGCTTTTCTTCCCACCCCCAGCATTTTAAAAAACCCTGGGACAGCGGAGGACTTCTCCGCTGTCCGGGGCGATTTAAAAGCCCCTGGGAAGGCAGGCAGGGGGGACAAAGACTTTCGCCCCCTGCCCGCCTTCAGAAGGTGTTCCCGCCCCCCGCCCCGCTTTCCGAAGTGGGGCGGCTGGGGCAGTTGTTCCCGCCCCCCCTCCCCACTTCGGAACAGCTTTCCGAAGTGGGGCGGCTGGGCCAGGTGTCCCCGCCCCCCCTCCCCACTTCGGAACAGCTTTCCGAAGTGGGGCGGCTGGGGCAGTTGTTCCCGCCCCCCCTCCCCACTTCGGAACAGCTTTCCGAAGTGGGGCGGCTGGGGCAGTTGTTCCCGCCCCCCCTCCCCACTTCGGAACAGCTTTCCGAAGTGGGGCGGCTGGGGCAGTTGTTCCCGCCCCCCTCCCCGCTTCGGAACAGCTTTCCGAAGTGGGGCGGCTGGGGCAGGTGTCCCCGCCCCCCCCCTTCGGAACAGCGTTTTAAAATGCTGGGGGTCGGGAGCGAAGCGCTGCCGACCCCCAGCATTTTAAAATCTCCCCGTGTCCCGGGAAGATTTTAAAATGCTGGGGGTCGGCATTTTAAAACCTTCCCGGGACACGGGGAGATTTTAAAATGCTGCGGGTCGGCAGCGCTTCGCTCCCGACCCCCAGCATTTTAAAACCTTCCCGGGACACGGGGAGATTTTAAAATGCTGCGGGTCGGCAGCGCTTCGCTCCCGACCCCCAGCATTTTAAAACCTCCCCGGGACAGGGGGAGATTTTAAAATGCTGGGGGTCGGCAGCTAACGCTTCGCTCCCGACCCCCAGCATTTTAAAATCTCCCCGGGACAGAGACTTCTCTGCTGTCCCTTGGAGATTTTAAAATGCTGGGGGTCGGCAGCGAACGCTTCGCTCCCGCCCGCCAGCATTTTAAGATCGCCCGGGTCAGGGGGGGGCAAGACTTTTGCCCCCCTCCGGCCTTCAGAAGAGGTCCTCTTCTGAAGGCCGGCTGTGGGCGAAAGTCTTTGCTCCCGACCGCCAGCATTTCCCTATGGGCTTTCGTCTTGCGATGCAAGCCCATAGGGAAATTCGTCTTGCGAAGCGCCTCCAAAACAGAAAACCCTTTCGTCTTGCGGGTTTTCCGTCTTGCGAGGCATTCGTCTTGCGGGGTACCACTGTATTGTATTTGAACTCAGATCTACTCATGCAATCCTTTACACATTTATCTGGAAGTAAATCCCATTCAATTCAATGAGACATACTTCTGAGTAGGGCTGCAATGTTAAATGTTTTTTAAAAACCGAAATTATATTAGTAAATTGCAAAAATCAATTCCCTCCTAATTGAAAGCTCATTGGATTTATACAGAGCACCCCATTTTAGCTTTCCTAAAACAGGAAATATCATGTATCAGGAAATATCATGTATACCTGGTAACACAATTCTGCTAGATGAGGAGATTGTTGAACCGCTGTGGGACCAGACCTTGTTTCAGTACCATTCTCCAGTATGGTCAAAATAGCATGTAGGCAAGTTCTAGGC